CATGGGACGCTGTGGCGGCCCCTCTGCCCCCCCCCTTCCAATCTGCCGCCCCCCCCCAAATAAGATGCTGTCTGAGGCGATCGCCTCAGGCTGCTTCATTATAGGGAGGGACCTACTGTATTTCCAGTGTTTGCTGGGTTTGCTTTTATCAGAACATTATCTTATTTATTTTTTTACCCTCTTCTAGTTTCCAGCCGGAGGAAGACAGTAAAGCCAAAGTGCAGCCTGTCCTGTGAATTTTTAACTGTGGAAGATTATACTGATTTATTATGGACCACACTATCAGAATTCCCTGGTTAGTGCGTAATCAGATAAGGGGCAAACAAAGAACTTTCACCTTCATCCACTCAAGCAATTCCACTTATGCAGCCAAATTGGGGAAACACCGACTTTAAATTTCTTACATGGTCTCATTCACATGTATTCACAATAAAAAAATTGCAGCTTACATTTTTTAGATGCTCTTTCTGCTAACTCCAGGACTGAAAAATCACTCACTGGCTGGGGGGGTTGGGGAGGGGGGGTTTGTTTGCCATAATTTACCCTGTCTGTACTGTGCTTGCAGATTTCATTATCACTTGTACACTAGATGAGCAGTATGCCTGTCCTAACAAAGGGTTAAAGCCCTGAAGACAATGGGGGAGGGGGGGATTTATCAAATCTAATTAGCGACTAATTAGCTTCTCTGTTCCATTTCCTCAGTCAGGCTTTGAAAATGAAAGAGAGAAGCTGATTGGTTGCCATGGACAACTGCTTTAGATTTAGTCTGCTCCAGTCTTGATAAACTCCTACCATTGCATGTTAATGAGAGGAAGCTAAGAGTGTCCCTAGGTTTTTCTACATATAGTCCCAGACTGAAATTGAGAGAGAAGCTTGTAAAGGCCTGCTAAATAGAGATATCTAAAAGGTAAGAAATATATATTTTTAATGATTTTTCGGTATGCTGTATGAATAGGAACACAGCAGACATATAGGGCGGGTTTTCTCAATTGTGCCTGCAAAAGTGGAAATACATTTTAAGCCTGTAACTTAAAATTCAAAAAGCATATTAAGTGTAACAGCATTACAGGTTTGTCAGTCTAAAATTGTCTGTAACTTACAGTTATTTGAAATGTTCATGCATTGGAAAGGACATATTGGCATGAAAATCTGCCACTTCACCTTCCCTTTGGTTCAGTACATTGTTCAATGCTTAAAGATTATGGTCATTTGAAAATTGATTTGGATCAGTGTCACTAATATGACATCAGGGAAAATGACTTTGCATTCAATATACTGTACCTGAGGATAAATTCAAATTCTGTTTATTGCAGATTTTATGTAGAACACCATATATATGTTACAAACTGTTAGTCATTTACTTATCTAGATATACATACATATAAACCCGTAGATAGAGAGGAATTTATCAAAACTGGAGCAGACAAAATCTGGAGCAGCTGTGCATGGTATCCAATCAGCGTCTCTCTTTTATTTTCAAAGGTTAACTGACCAAACTAGAGAAGCTGATTGGTTGCCTTGGGCAACTGCTCCTTATTTTGTCTGCTCCCGTTTTGATAAATTCCCCCAATAATCTCTTATTTTTAAGTTAGTGTTTTATTATTGGTGACAGTTATCATAATAAAAGCAGACAGACACAAATAAAAAAATCCGGCTTCCCGGCCAATCAGGAAGTCGGGTGGTGTGTAATGACTCGCCTCACAGCTTCCGATTGGTCGGGAAGCTGGCCAATCAGGTAGCCAGGCAGTGAGATATTACCCGCCCCCCAGCTACCTGATTTGCCAGAAAGCCTGGTGATGAGGGAGCATGGAGACAGCTTCCCAGCTAATCAAGAAGACGGGCAACGAGTCATTACACGCCGTCCGGCTTCCCGGCTAATCAGGAAGCTGGGCGGCGAGTCATTACATGCCACCAGGCTTCCTTGATGGGACTTCCGGTATGGGTATTCGGTACCAGTGCATCCCTACCATCCAGAGTTCCATTCATTTTTCACCAAGATCTTGATGATGGGAAAGTCGGACCGCTGTGTAGAGTGTTTTGCAGCACATCCCAAAGATTCTCAATGGGGTTGAGTTCTGGACTCTGTGGTGGCCAATCCATGTGTGAAAATTATGTCTCATGCTCCCTGAACATGTTTTATTTATTTTGTATGTTTTAGTTATTACAAAATTGTATTTACTGTATTGTTTTTTATGCCTGGAATTCAAATTTAATAGTAACAGTCCCACTAGTCAACCTATATCCCTGGTAAAGATGATTCTGGTTGATTTTTTAAATTATGGCTAGTTAACCTTTGTTTTATATTAGGTGTGTTGGTGACCTTATGGATCATTGACCGACTGGGGCGGAAGAAGACAATGGCCATCTGCTTCTTTGTTTTCTCTTTTTGTGCACTTCTTCTATTTCTTTGTGTTGGAAGGTAACTGAGAATAATTTTTTTTCAGTACTCCTTTGCTGAAATGCCATTTATTCTGCACTGAAAACCTTATAGCAAAACTTTAGATCAGGGGTGGGCAAATCAGAGCCAAGGTGTCAACCTGTTTTTCAAGGTGGACAAAGACTGATGGAAATTGAGCAATCCCATAGTAGTACATTTCAATTAGAAATATGGGAGTTGCCATTGCTGACTCAGACCTTGGTTTCACTACCTAGTAGGTCACAGACCTGAAACAAGCATGCTGCCATTGAGGTCCGAGATTAATTCATCTATACTCATTGCAGATCAGTGCCTCGCTAGGTTCTATAGAAAGGATCATGATGATGGCCCCAGCGGCCACACTTTGGAATATAATCAGCAATACCTGTTCCAATATTTCCTTTAGAGGACAACTAAACCCATATCAGATTCCTTTGTTTTGGATGGAGTGGGGAAGGGTTCAATCCACCCACCAGGTTCAGTGTTGTGTAGGATGCCCATGGTGCAAGCTTCCCACTACGTATGTGGTCTTGAAAAATATTGTTTGGGTTAATACTGCTTTTGCTCCTATGATTTTGACTGGTCTATATGTGTTACTGGAGGTTTAACATTATGCTGGACTCTTCTGAGTAATGCTTTAAGAGTAATGCTAAGTCATCAATGACAAGAAACCTAATTTTGTTGCTGGGCCATGCATTCAGATGCTGTGCATAGTATTCAAGTTACTGGACTCCTACGTTCTATTTGGCCATACAGAAATTAGACAATGTGGCCAAATAATTGTCAAGAGTGTCATTAATACCTTATACAGCAACCCCAGACAAAAAAAGAAACCAGGTAATGCTATACAGTGCACACTGGAGTTTTCTAATATCAGAGAGACCACTCAATTTACCTTGAACAGAGCTATGTGTACCCAGTGCACCCATTTTTATACAGATCTCTTTCTATGGCATGGGTACTTCTTTCTAAGGCCTGTACTGTTCAGCTACTGTATATTCTCTGTGTGCCATGTCTCCAGTCAAATTCAGACATCTGAAGTAGGCATGAATGGCACTTCTGACTATGAGAAACGTTTTAGTACTTACATTTTACGGTAGTGGATTTCTGTATGTGACAAGCAGCAAAAGGTCTTCAGTGCATGTGTTTAGGAATCATTTTGTCCCAAAAGAACATTTTTTTAAAACTGCCAATACTTCAAGCAATCTGTTGGAGGAATTGGATTTTTGATTACATCTTTTTCCAAATCTCAAAGCAATCGATGACATAAAATGGTGGTTTGGAACGTAAAGCAAGGAAATGAGATCAAAATTGCCCCAATCAAACCTGGCTTTCAAAGGCATTGCTGTAGTTTTTTTCTGTTTTCAATTTGTTCTCTTAATTAACTGTGTTGAAGCTTTCCATTTATTGCCTAGTTTCAACTTCACAATTAATGACACTCTGGTGGTCAATCAAACCCATGGATAGCAGATTCTTAAGGGTCTGGTTATTACATATGATTGTATTTTTGATTCCCGGTGGATGCAAAGTGGTTAAAATTGAAAACTACAACGGGTATGGTCAGCTAAACCCTAGCTCTTATGTTGACCATAAACATGGAAATTGTTAGGCAATTTCAATCACTTTCATCCATCTTTCAACATAAAAAACACGAGTAAATAAAGCAAGGTAGCCTACCACCAACAGGTCTGATCATTTCATAAAAATCTAAATTATTGATGGTATATCGCATTAATCCCTGGGGCCTTTTTTGTTTTCAAATGTTGGTTAAAAGTAGTAAAATTGCCTATAACTTTCCATGTGCACTAACTGTAACACTAGCTCAAACTGAAGCGTCAATATAAAGGACAACTTCCTATAAAGGAAGTTGGTCAAAACATAAATCATTTTCTATATCATTCACCATCTGTAAGATTATGTCATCATGACCAAAAGGTGGACACCGGTCAGCTATAACAATATGCCCACCCCCCTAATATTAAGTAGGTCCCCTTTTTGCCACCAAAACAGCCCTGACCCATCGAGGCATGGAGTCCACTAGACATCTGAAGGTATGCTGTGGTATCTGGCACCAAGCTGTTAGTAGCAGATCCCTTAAGTCCTGTAAGTTGCTAGGTGGGGCCTCTATTGAAAGCACATCCCACAGATATTGATTGGATTGAGATCTGGAGAATTTGGAGGCCAAGTCAACACCTCACACTCGTTGTGTTCCTCAAACCATTCTTAAACATTTTTTGTAGTGTGTCAGTGTGCATTTTTCATGCTGAAAGAGGCCACTGCCATCAGGGAATATCGTTTCCATGAAGGGCTGTTCTTGGTCAGCAACAATGTTTAGGTAAATGATGCATATCAAAGTAACGTACACATGAATAGCAGGACCCAAGGTTTCCCAGCAGAACATTACCCAAAGCATCACACTGCCTCCACCGGCCTGCCTTCTTCCCATAGTGCATCCTGGTGACATCTCTTCCCCAGATAAGTGACACACACCTGGCCATCCACATAATGTAAAAGAAAACTTGATTCTTCAAACTAGGCCACCTTCTTCCATTGCTCCATGGTACAGTTCTGATGCTCTGTGCAGATTTGGCGGTAAACATAGGTCAGCATGGGCACCCTGAGCAGTCTGCAGCTATGCAGCCCCATATACAACAAACGGTGATGCACTGTGAATTCAGACACCTTTCTATCAGAACCAGCATTATTTTTTTCACCAATCTGAGCTACTGTAGCTTTTCTAAGAGATCGGACTACATGGGCCGGCCTTCGCTCCCCACGTGCATTAGTGAGCCTTGATTGCCCATGACTGGTTCACCAGTTTTTGTTCCTTGGACTACTTTTGGTAGGTCCTGCCCATTGCAGACTGGGAACATCCCAGAAGAGCTGCAGTTAAGGAGTTGCTCTGACTCCGTTGTCTAGCATCACAATTTGGCCCTTGTCCACGTTGCTCAAATCCTTACATTTTTTCTGCTTCAATCACATCAAGTTCAGGGACAGAATGTTTGCTTGCTGCCTAATATATCTCACCCACTTCCAGGTGCCATTGTAATGTAATAATCAATGTTATTCCCATCACTTCTCAGTGGTCATAATGTTATGGGAGATTGGTGTATGTATGGCCACTACAGAACATGATCTCCAGCAAGAGGCATTCATTTCCAATCAGACACGTGACTTATGTGACTATGAGGGTTAATTTACTAACGGCAAATAGGCTGTTCATTTTGCATCTGAATTTTAACTTTGCAGAAAGTATCTTCCCTTAGCTTAGTGAATAAGGGGAAGCTCTGGTAACTTTCGTCTTCCAATTATGTGCAAGCAAAAATACTGTTTTATTTTCCTTGCAAGTGATTGGGTATACTTTGCAAAGTGAAGTTTCACCACATTCACTAAGTTAAAGTGACACTATACTCAGGAGTTAAATCTTAAAAATACATTCAAGTACCTTAACTATTAACAATACTGGACCTTATTTGTGTATCACTGAGCTGTAGATCCCCAAATCATCTCTGACTTGGTGCTGACACTGTCCTTCCTTCTGGAGGGTGGCTACTTTTCTTCCGCATGGCCCCTGTGTGTGTTGTAAAGTAGCCACCGCTCCAAGCTCACCCCTGTTATGTACTACAGTCTCACGTTTAGTTTACTAATTTGTATTTAAATTGTAGTCCATCACAGGAGTTAGCTTAAAGCAGTAACTCCTTTACAACACACACAGGGACCATGGGGAACAAAAGTAGCCACACTCCAGAAGGAAGGACAGTGTCAGCATCAATTCAGAGATGATTTGAAGATCTACAGCCAATTAATACACAAATAAAGTCCTGTATTGTTAATAGTTAAGGTACATGAATCCATTTTTAAGATTTAACTCCTGAGTTTAGTGTCACTATCAGGGGAAACTTCCCCGGCAAAGTGAAAATCCCCTTACAAAACAAACAGCCTACTTGCCTTTAGTAAATCAACCACTATGAGTCTTGCATAATCAAACTACAGTATATACAGATATATACAGCTAATATTCCTTGTTTGAAATTTACTCTTCCAGCTATAGTACAGATTTCTATTTTTGGCTGCAGCTAACAGCTGTGCTGGCTCTGCTAGATAACCAGCACAGGGGATAGGTGGGTGGTAAGAACTTGTCAGCGATGAGAAGGGGGATATCTCAGCCTGCAAGCAGAACGACATGTAGGGAGTTGCATCCCCCACATGCGTTCTACTGGGCATATGAGTAACAATAAACAGTTAATTGTAGATTTGTTTATTTCAAATAACCTTTTACATGAAAACGATCATTTCACCCAACAAAGAAAAGGTTTAGTTGAACTCAGTTTAACTTTGAATCTTGGTTGATTTTCCCTGTTCAATAAAAAACAATATTTGCAGATTGAACAATCATTTAATGCAATCAATTTCTTGCAAGATAAGATCCTTTTATTGAAAAGATCGCTATATCGGAGGATCGTAATGCTTTGTGTTTGGCAGGTTTTACAAACTCTTAATTATGAATTCTGATATGTTTGATATGTACAAGTGGCCTTTGCTGTGTAACAATAGTAATGAAGCCCCAGGGGTGCATCCATGCAACTATAAACACAAGGAAGAAAAGGCCATGATCATATATTAGGTCAGCGGTAGGCAATTCCAGCCATGGTGAAATGAAAAATCCCATGATGCACTGCAAGACTCTGACAGCCACAGACATGATTCCCAGAAGCCGAGGCATGATGGGACTTTGTAGTTTCATCACAGCTGGAGTGCCAAGGTTGCCTACCCCTGTATTAGGAAACCAATATGCTCCTAACGATGCAAGCTATTAAACGACAGTCAAGTCACCAGTACAGAAAGGGAAAGTAGGTAAAGGGAAAGTAGTACTGTGGTCTTGTTTTAAAATTACAAAATCAGAACATATCCAGTATTTATTGTACTCGAAATCTGCACATATGAATACCTAAAATTAAAATCTATAGCCCAATTTTTTTTTTTTTAGTTTTTTTAGTTTTTCAAAACTTTATTGCAGCCTGTGACCCTGTTTGGAAAATGAATCCCAATAGTTCCTGCAATATCAAGACTTGAAAGTAATGGGAAATTCGTTTTTTTACAGTTGTCACCAGAAGAAGAATAAAAAACTTATCGGGAATACTTTTAGGACAGTTGGTGACAACTGTCTATGAGGATTTCCCCTCACTCTTTCAAGATTTTCTCTCACATGCTATTGTGTCTTTGGCAAACAAAGTAAAGAGAAATGTCATCAATAGGACACAGACAGCAAAAAGAAAAAAGAAAAGAAAAGACAGGGGTTAGCTATTTCTTACTTTATCCAAAACTAAATAGGCATGTTGGGTTTAAATATACTTTAATAATCTTTCTAGCTACTATCATAGCACAGCTTAGTCTTCTCTCAAGTTGAAGAGATACAGGTGGCTATGAGCTTAATGTAGCAACACTAAGGACCTGAATCGTTGGGCTTTTGCTCTTATCAGAAATTGAACAGCAGCTCAAAACAGGTAGATGCAGTTTAGAAGGTCAGAAAGAAGTAAGTTAAAATGCACCTGCCAATGATCTCAGAATCATCTCAAAGTGATCCCAAAAGCACCTGAAAGAACCTTGCATTTGCCCATCGATGCAAGACTAAGAACAGTCAGTCAAAGCCTTTGAAATAACAAACTTAACATATTCTATACAGGACCGGATTTCTCACAAGGCCAACCGAGGCCCGGCATCGGGGCAGCAGGGAGTAGTGTGGCAGCAGGAATTCCTAACTCCCGACGCCCAGGACATGCAGTTCTGGCCACCGGATAGGTAGTTGTTTTCTACATTTAGCCCTGCTTTGGGCAAGAAAGGGCTAAATGTACAGCGGGGAAGCCGCTACTTGTTTTGTACAAGTTACATAGTTAGTTAGTTAGGTTGACAAAAGACACATGTCCATCGAGTTCAACCTCGATGTCGCCAAGATCACTTGTATGCAACTTGCATACAGGGGGCGCATTGAGGAACCTGGCATTGGTGCAGCAGAAAGAGTAAATCCGGCCCTGATTCTATATACTGTACATAAGACCTTGACATGGTGTGATGGCTGATTATAAAAATAACAAGAATTCATAGTTTGCATTGTGACTATTCAGTGCCAACTCTTCTTTTTCTCTTTTCAGGAATGTGCTCACAGTTTTACTCTTCATAGCAAGAGCCTTTATTTCAGGTGGATTTCAAGCTGCCTATGTTTACACTCCAGAGGTAAGACATATAATATGCTAAGTGAGACCTGGTGGACAATACAAAATTTAAACAACATATACCCTTGGTGCCCAACTTTCAGCCCTCCAGTGCTCAGGTCTAGAGTACAGTGGGCTTTAGATTGAGTACCATCAGCATACTCCCACTCTACACCACTTGCATTGGCAGCAGTGGTGTCACAAGGGGGGTGCGGGGGGTGCGGCCCGCACCCGGGTGACATCATTGAAGGGGTGACACCAAAATGACTTACAGTCATTTTGGTGTTACCCCCCTCTGAAAAGTCGGGCGCTCGGTCATGGAACGAACGCCCGACAGTATCAGGAGAGAGGAGGGGACCCGGCGGCATACCTTATCCTGCCGGGTGACTGTCCCCTCCTCTCTCTGCCGGCGTCCATCACCAAGATGGCCACCGGCAGGTATCAGAATACTGCCGCGCGTACGCGATGACGTCATCACGCACGCACGTGGTGACGTCACGCGCATGCGCAGTGATGTCTGGGCGGGGTGACACTCGGTTACCGCTCCGGGTGTCACCCAGCCTCGGGACGCCCCTGATTGGCAGCTAGTGTTTTTTTACATTTGGCGTGGCATTTTAAGTGTCAGCATGATTATGAAGACCAGTTTCATGCAATCATTATAGATAACAAGTTGGCTTAAATGTATTATCAGAGTGTTAAAGAGGAACTTCACTCCCCCCTTGCTTTTTTCCCCTATGCCCTCTTGCCTGTAATGCTGGCCTGTCACCAGAAAATCCAGCATTGTCCAGTGTTGCTGCCCAGTGAATCCAGCATGCTCCTCCTGTGGTCCAGCAATCCTTCTGTGACGTCATTGGAAGCTGGCTGTCTCTTCCAGGATCTGCATCTGCACCCTGATGAGGCATGGCAAGGCGCTGTGAGTCCTTGCTCCTGTAGCCTCATCAGATATGTGACAGAGATATCCCAGGAGAATGTGGGAGAAAGACTCAATATTCTTTAAAAAAAAGGAATTAACAAATCCCCCCTACCATTTTATATTGCAGGGAGCTTAAGTGCACCTTAAGCTCCACTTTAAAGTGGCCACACAGTCTAATTTGTGCTGTCAAGAGAATTTACCAACAATAATGTTTCTGTTGTATCCAAGTATGTATATATTAACTAGCTTTCCCACTACAGAGGAACAAGCAGATGACTGTAACCACTGCTGAGTATACCTAATGACCAAATACCTAATGACCTAAAGTAATGCTGCTTTTATAGCCGATATAGAGAATCTAGAAGCAAATTCCTGTTTACCTATTTCATCCGTTCATGATTGGATCATTGTACAAAATGGGCCAGTTTATATTATTTAGACTAACAAAATTGAAAGTATCAAATGTAGATATACATTATGGAGCAAGGAATGGTATCTGGGCAATTTAAACTTAATTTCTCTTATTGGAGGAATTAGGGATGCACAGATACTTTTTGAGTACCAGTGCAGATACTTGGCATTTTCATGAGAACTACCAGGGTTGCAGCGGTTGCAGCTGGGACCTGGCCTAGGCACTCCACCACTGTCCTGAAATCATTATTCTGTATTGTTTTAGAAAAACTGTCACATGACAATAAACAAAAATGTATCAGTACTCGTACTTGTAAGTACTCAGCAAGTACCAGTACTCGTACTCGCAAAACTGGTATCTGTGCATCAATTTATTTATATTTATAAAAACAAAATCGTACATTAAAACAGAGATGTACAAATCCCAGGAGCTCCGTGTGCTCCTTACAAATGACAGCTGCCTCCTAACTTTTGAATTTTTCTCTAGTGTAGTCTTGGAGCTCAAAAGTATCGGTACATGTACTCGTACTTGTACCGAGTACTGTACTTGGTATCTGTGCAACCCTAGGAGGAATTATTCATAAACATTTTTTTTCAACTGCCTGCTTCTGTTTGTGCATTGGTTATACAGTATGTAGCTAATGGCTTTCTCCTGTGAAAGAATTCTGATATATGCATGTTTTGTTTTCCTCCTTCAGGTCTATCCAACAGCTACACGAGCTCTAGGTCTAGGAACTTGCAGTGGGATGGCTCGTGTAGGGGCATTAATCACACCTTTTATTGCACAGGTAAAAATGCAAACTCTGCATTATGTATGGTATAATATAAATATTGCAGACACAACTTTTTCTTGTAGTCAGGCATTTTACTGCAGACATCTGTACACTTCCATTTTGCTCTTCTCAGCAGTGTATTTATCTAGTCTTTGCCCGCAGGCATCATCACATGGGCAGTAGAATTTTATGCTTACATGTAGAATCTTATGGCAACCCCTACGCCTCACACTACAGTTTTAACTATGTATAGAGCAGAGATGTGAATTATTTCACTCAAACATATACTCTGCACAGGGAGGTAAAGTAATGCTAAGCAGAACGTTCCTCCTGACCTTTCCTAGTACTATAGTGTCTCTTTTTGCGTATGCTTCTTCTATTTTGCTTCAAACACTGCACAGTTGCGCGACAATTTCATGGACCAGATGGTGGAGACTTATAACCTGCACCCCAAGGTACTTAAGGAATTAAGCCAGTTATATCTAGACCTTTATTCCTCATTTTTAAGGACTCTTGTAATATACAGGGGTACAGGTACTCCTAGAATGAGATCCTAATAGGTTGGACTTGATGGACTAATGTCTTTATTCAACCTCAAATACTATGTAACTATGTAACTATGTAACACTTCTGTGACCTCTGGCAATGTTTCAGCCTTGCCTATAGGCTACCTGACACTTTTATAGCGGACACCACTGCTCAGCAGCCAATAGGAAGTGTCCACGTTATGCAAGCAGTGACATTGACACTTGAGAAAGGACACTGTCGGAAGTAAACAAAGGGAGAAAGAAGATTTAGTGCTGGAGGATCACGATACTGTGGCTTTTATGTAACATGAAAAGTTTTTTTTTATTTTTTACTGCCAGCAATCAGAGTGGAGTGGCAGGTAGGAGTAGGAGGGGGTTAATTTTATTCCTCAGATGGGCTTTAAGTTACACTAGTATCTCCTGATATATTTTACAACTCATAACCTGAGGTGTGCATCCTGAAAGCATCACCCACTAAAACGCAAAATTCCTTGTGGTATACCCACATATTACACAAAAGGTGTTATAAAACTTTGTCAAGTTTTTATCACTGTCTATTTCTCTTCTAGGGATATTCACCCTCTCTGTGTCCTTTTGACCATTGTCATTGAAACAGAAAGTGAGGGGAAATCCAGAATTTCTGCGTTGTCACTAGAACAACAGGTGAGGGCAAATCTTCCAATAGAGACTCCTGTTCTGGTGACAACTGTCCAAAAGGAGATTACTCTCGCTTTAGAGAGAGTCCCTCACATGTCCTTTGTGTGTCAAGGATAGAAATTGAAGGGAAATCTCCCTAATCAGACAGAATCAGCATCAAATAATCTGACAGGGTATAATACTTATCTGCTCTACTCAACACTAACATTACAGTTTTGGCTTGCATACACTTTACCGTTAACTTGAGCACACCAGGAAAAAAAGCAAGGATTTCCACAAACCTTCTATGAAGTTTCCATCTGTGTCTCATGATTTCTGCTCTCATTCAGTTCTTATGAATAACTTTATAAAAGATAACAAAGTATTTATGAATCTATTCTCCTTTCTTCCAGGTGATGCTTGAGTCGTCTATATATCTCACAGTGTTGGTGTACAGTGGCTGTTGTATTTTAGCAGCACTGGCTTCTTGCTTCCTTCCCATTGAAACCAAAGGCCGTGGACTGCAGGAGTCCAGCCACAGAGAATGGGGTCAGGAGATGGTGGGAAGAGTAGCGCACAATGATGGAGTCACTCCTTCAAACTCCAGCTCACAAGAGTGACCCCCTCACCTCACCCACTATTACTGACACTCACACATGGATAGCCTTTCAGTCTCACATCTACCATTACATGGACTACATAGGGCATGGACGGTAATGGCCAAAGTATTGCTAAATAAAAGTAGCACCGTTGTAGTGATGGGATAATGGTATGCTTAGATCCTTACAAAAGGATTGAGAAATGAGCTATTCTTATGCTATAGGGATAGAAGTTGGCACTGTTAAATAACATCCATAGATTCAATTCAACAGTTAAAACGTTCTATAACAAATTGTGTTTTTAGCACTAACAAGAAAAGAAGATCACTATCAGCATTGAAATGAAATCTGACCCTGAAAATGAGTCAGTTACACCAGATATGTCTGGATGCTGCTGATGACTTTGAGATCTTGAGTAAACAAGAGAAATCCATGAATTATGACCTTCTGGATATGTCACCTCAGCTACTAATGAATGAAAAGATTGGAGCACTGCAGCTAGCTAATAATGATGATCATAACCTTTGTTCAGACCTTTGAATCTGCAGGCCGTATGGTCTTATCTGTGTACTGCAGACCGTATGGTCTAATCTGTGTACTATCTTTCTTAAACTCCTTTTTAGCTTACAGTAGTAAGTGATCATTAATTCAACAGAGATGTAAGTGATGCGTGTTATCAAATAAGACAAGAAGAGTTGCATAGTTTTCTGAAGTGTACAGCACTAGACCATCTTTGCCCATCTGCTTTAGGGCATTGTCTGGTGTAAAGAGATTGTCAATGAAAAATGTCACATATCTAAGGAAAACATATGTTGGAAAAGATGAGAATACAGAGATTGTTTTTTTAAATTAAAATGTGCAAAAATGTCTGACGTTTACGGTTTAGTCATGAGTTATTAGTCTGGTTTGAACTTTGAAGGGAATCCGTCACTAACAAAATAACATTTAGGGGTTGATTTATAAAGAATTTGTAGAGCCATTTGTCCTGTGAACCTGCATTTACATTCCTTCTGTGCGCATGGAGGCAAAAGCTAATGTTATTAGTATATTTTCTTTCCAGGTTGAATGTAATATCAGGAAAATACCATATTATATAGTATTTAATTAAAAGTATTTACAGTATATGCTATGCTCCTCAGCTCCATCTAGAGGTCATAATGCAGTATTTGTCTGATGTTACATGTGACCTGGAATGAAAATATACTAATAACATTCCTTTTTTACCTCCATTGGCACAGAACAAGTGAACATGCAGATTCGCAAGACAATTGGCTTTGCATTTTTTTTTTATATATATAAATACACCCTTAAGATTTGCACCAATTCACAAATTAGATATTATATCAGATTATATATTATGGCTGAGTTCATCATTGTCTATATTAGGGAGGCACCGATACCGATACTAATATTGGTGCCGATAGCGAGTATTTGGGCGTGTACTCATACTCTCCCAAATGCTCCGATGCCTAGCCCGAACTTCCGGTATCAGGAAGCTGGGCAGCAAGCCATCAACCGTCCCCCGGCTCCATAATTGGCCAGAAAGCCGGCTTCATGCTCTTTCGTCACCTGGTGATGAGGGAGCATGGAGCCAGCTTCCCAGCCAATCAGGAAGCCAGCGCCGTGTAATGACTCTCTGCCCGGCTCCGATTACTCGAGAAGCTAGCCAATCAGGAAGCCAGGCGGCGAGTCATTACCCGCTCCCAGCCTCCTGGCTGGCCAAACAGCTGGCTCCATGCCTCCTTGTCTAGTGACGAGGAAGCATGGAGATGGCTACCCTGCTAATTAGGAAGCCAGGTGGCGAGTCTATACACGCGGCCCGGCTTCCCGGCTATTCAGGAAACCAGGTGGCGAGTCATTACACACCGCCTGGCTTCCTTAATGGGACTTCCGGTATCGGTATTCAGTATCGGCGAGTACCGGCAAAAAATATTGGTACCCGTACTCGATACCGAAAAACCAGTATCAGTGCATTCCTAGTCTATAATAATGTTAAATTACACTTTATTAAGAAATTCAGCTTTCTGGAAAAGCACTGGAACCTAAAGTGTATGCAAACCCTAACAATGAAGGATGGCTTATTTGGTCCTTTTGGGTCTGTTAAACATACATTTTAAGTGTTTTGTCACATCTGTTTAATAAGTTCAAAAACATACTGGTTGATCTTGCCAGAAATCTTGTGAGCTGATAAATTCCTTTGCTCTTTGGCTGTGCTGACATTGTTCTCAGCTATCTCTGGGGACTACAGAACCATGCTCCTCTATGTTACATACCATAGGAGAAAGTGGGATTCCTTAGTCCTATCTTGTTTCTGTTGCCCTGATACAGATGCTTGTGTGAGAATTGTCATCCTAGGAGTGAAAGTATGTCACTGGCACAATCAACAGGTGAAAATAAAGGAAAGAAAAAAGTTTGAGAAAAGAAAACAAATGCAGCCGCCACATTTAGGGACTGGTAAGCTGCAGTAAATACTATATTTTTGTGTTCAGATTTAGATCAAGCAACTGATTTTTCACTGCTGGCTACCAGACAATGGATGCATGAAGTAACAGCAACTGCTGAAGTGTTCCAGCTTCATCTGAAATGCTGTAGTTATGTCTCTCATGTGACTGAGAGACATAACTCATGTGATCATCTCTAACAAATTTGGTGGCTCTCCAGCCTCTGCAGTGCTCAGATGCTCAGGGTAAAGGAAGCTGTTAATGCATAGACAGTACTGTATATTTTCACTGGAAAAGATAGGGTTAAAGGGACTGGTTTTAGAAGAGTAACAGAAAGTGGACCATATCATTTCAAGTTCAGCTTCACACTAGGTTATCAGGATGCTGAGTTCTGGGTGTGAGTCATTGCTTGTCTCTGCTTGGCATTGTATGACGTCAGCAGATGCAGCAGTGCAGAAGAAAAGTGAATGTCTGTGTGTTTGAATGTACAGCCTTTTAATGAATGCATTTCAATGTTTGAACGTCTCTGTGTCAGAAGCTTGTTGTATGATCTCTCCCTCTGTCCCCAATGCCTTGTTGACTTGGATTCTATTGTAAGTTGAATATTTTATGTTGAATAAACTTTTTACATTAAAAGAATAGTGGATTTAGTGACTGGTTTATTCTACAAGCATCTGCATACTGCTCCTCTACTAATTGACAGGTTTAATAGCCTGCCTGCTATTGACTATTGCAATTTGAAAAAGCCAATGGCAGGCTGGCTATTGCACTGCCACTGCTTGCATTCTGCTGCCTGCTGTGGAATCCTGCGGCGGCAGATGAATGTGGAAGAGGCTCAGTAGGGGTCGACTGATATCTGACGACTGCCTGCTGTTGGCGCAGCTGGATGTAAACAGAATATCAGTACCTGATAGCGCTTATCGGCCTGAAAGGTGGCCCATAATCTGCATCAGTATCTGTTCTGAAAAAACAGTCGATCCCTAATCACAACCTGCTCACAGTCACAGAAGAAAGTAAATGAAGGATAGAAATCACCAGCACTCAGCAAATGAAGTTAAAAAAAACCGCATCCATTTATTTGGACTAAACATCATACATATCGAGTTATCCAACATTTCATGACCACGCAGGGTGACACATCTCTGCCCTGATGAAGGGACCCTGCGTGGTCCCGAAACGTTGGATAATGCGATATGTGTGACGTTTAGTCCAAATAAATGGACGTTATTTTTTGAACTTCATTTGCTGAGTGCTGGTGATTTCCATCCTTCATTGACTGCTGTGCACGGCGCCATCTGTGATTGTCACTGCGAGCACCACTATTGTTACTTGGACCGGAAACGCTGTAAGGAGTGCAGGGGGACCTACTGTTTTACAGAAGAAAGTAATACGTAGCTGGCCAGACCACCATAAAGGAAAACATCAGTAAAAACATAAATTAACTTGCAAAATATCACTTTACATGAAATATATAATTCAATGCTTTAGGCTACATTCACACGGGCTATTATAAGTGGCTGGGGTTAATTGCGGCAAGAATCTCAGGTTTGTCCATACAAATGCAATCTGTCCGCTTCCAGGAACAATCATCTATCCTAAACCAAAGGTAGTTGTTCCATGTACGATTACATGAGGATATCCACTGACAGATGTGGCGGCTGTCAGCCTGTCATAAACTTAAACAGACACAGCAACCCCATCTGTATGGAAACACATGGAATTCCTGCCACAAGAATCTGCAGGTTCTTGCTTACAGACTAAAACCCTGTGTGAATAAAAGTGTAGTCTGACTTTTGCTGAGAAGAAAAAAAGCATCCTTTTTCTGGTCAGTTACATACCTAGCTAGTATTTTAGAGTGCCTACTGTAGACATGTGCAATGAAGCTCACACATGGATCCACTCATTTCCTACTTCCTAAGCAATTCGTGAGATGGTATTTCTGCTCTAATCACATAACTAGCCCCAGTGTTGTATTAAGAGAAAAACCACTGGGACCAGCAACAAGCCAATTACATGAGCTGGGAACAGCTTATAGGGAGGAGTCCTGTACTGAACAGTCAGTGTACTAAACATCCCCATAAAGGGGGAAAAAAATTACTTTGCTTTGATAGTGTAAGAAAATCATATACTGTAAATCTTATGTATCAATTCATTTTTATTTAACCAATTGTTACACTATAAATGCGATCTCCAAATGTCCCGTACTGAAGATGTTATGCCCAATGTTGAATTTGGGTTTATTTCATTTTGCCTGCATTAAATTGCTCAGTCCTGAAACAAACATTGAATTACACATAGGCCTCTTGAGTTATAGTAGGTTGGAATGTCATGTGGAAAGCATTCCATTTTCAGCCAACAGTACATCGAAAACCAAAATATGGCAAAAGGTAAGCAGCTCTTCCGATGACTTATTTATTAAAGAATCATGTGTTTTGCCTGTAGTTTATTAAAGGCTTTGAGACTTAGACTTCATTAACACCAATTGTGAATGTGCGTTTTAGGATACCTTCGGCAAGAACGCACGAATTCCAGCGGCAGGGATCCAAAGAATACCGTTTAGAAGCGCCCATTGTCACCCATTCAAGTTAATGATCGGGTTACAGCAGGCGCATCTGAAAAGGAAAATCCACGAGCACTCAACATGTAGTCTTTTGTGATACGATTATATGCAGTTTGGAATAGTGACAGGAAACAATACCGGCGCCTCCACGTGCAATATCGGCCAGTTGAAATGGTAACGAACACACTGAAGAGGCAGCTCCCACAGGTCAAAGGACCTTCAATCTGAGAGACAAAAAACAAAAAGGAGCGCCTCCATAGTGTAAAATGAGGAGGCGCTCAGGTTCTGAGGAAGGGGGCGTGCCCCAAAAACATGTAAACCGAGACCACACAGGGGCAGTGGACGCTGATGCTGCACATCTTTTCAGGCTTCCGCTGCTAGACATCCCATTGTTTTCTACCGACTTCTTGTAAGTACAATACAGTGGTGCGTATTTATCATTAAAATTTGTTTTACACTATGGAGGCGCTCCTTTTTGTTTTTTCTCTCGCAGTTTGGACTAGCTCACTCTCCCTGGATGCAGCTATTGTTCGTGATAGTGCGATAGTGATCTATTCCTAACTACATGTAACGGAAGGTAGCAGCCGCTTCTAAATGGCATATTTAGGGTTCCGCAGAAATCACAAAATGCACAACTAGTGTGAATGTAGCCTAACCAATAATGCAAGGAAGCACTGGGCAGGGGGGGGATTTGCTCCCTGGGTCATTAGTAATTACATATGTTGGGCTGGTGGCCCTCAGAGGAGATACTTTATCATGTATGCATTAATCAGAGAGGCCCAGCAGTCAATGACACATGTTTAGCATTATTTAGTCACCAAATCCCTGTTCAAACCTGCAACCACAGCACTTGGTTCAGGAAAGTCTTCCTGCACCAGTTTCCTTTGCAGCTCTGAGGTGTCATGTGACTAAATGCCAGCCGCCCCAATGAAAACTGATGCAGCAATATGTAAAAAGCAATGTTACAATAAACCATGTCCTTTAAGAAAACGCACCGTTCACCACGCCATCCCATCAATGCAGCACCATGGCCAAGTTAAACCCTCTAATGATAACCAAATGAAAAGTCACACACTGCAGTCTATGTCCAGAATCAGGGTAAAAACACACCATGTACACAAGCCCTCAGGGTTAACGATCAAGGGCTACAGCCTCACAAACAAGTCAAATGCAGTATGATTTTTTTTTTTAAAGGAAATTGACTTGCATTGTAGGTGCATCAGTTTTATTTTCACATTAACTTGGGCAGTGGAAGAAGTCAGTTTGAATGCACTCATTTTACATTTCTTGAATGGATGTCACAAGACATAAGACTGATGCCTTAGGTCCTGAAGGAAGTGCGTGTGTGTAGGTGTGTACACACACACACACACATATATATATATATATATATTTATTTATTTCCCGAAATGTCTAGTGGCTGGAAAGGGGTAGCATTGTGTGCAATACTTAAACAAATGCTTAAAACATGTATCAGAGTAAGTGTAGAAGCAAACCCTCTTCTGCAGACTACAGCCGAGACTGATCACTTGGGGTGGTAAGATTACCATTATTATGAATTGGAATATTAGCAATCATGTGGCTTTGCAGAGATCTTTGGAAATCATGCCATCTTTGACATGAGATTTCCATGATTTTAGACATTTACTGGCATTATACTTTCTATCGATACCCGAGGCTACCAACATATAATGAAATGATCATCAGCAAATAGTTTCCACAATGTTTGTCATTTATATTGGTTTTGCACTGAATCTGAACTGAAATTGGTTGCTGACATATTTTGTTCATAACATGACTGAATTCTGGAAACTGTGCAGACAGAGGGCAAAGGATCAGTCACCAGCCTTGCCTGTGGAGTCCCTGCAGCTGATCTTCCGCCTTACTGACTCACCATCAGTGGCATCACAAGGGGGGAGTGGCCAACCCCAAGAGAAACCATCAGAGGGGGTGACCCCAAAATGACTGACAGTTGAACGAGAGGGGGAGACCCCGGGCATCCCTGATCCTGCCGAGTCAATATCCCCTCCTCTCTTTGCTGGTGTCCATCACCAAGATGGCTGCTGGCAGTGAACTACATCACCGCGCATGTATAATGACATCACACCACAGACATCATAATGCATGCTCGGCGGCTGCAGCGGGTGACACTCACCCTGATACCACTACTGCTTACCACGCCTTGTTCTGCACTGTGTCTCTGTCTGGAGGTGGCCATCCTGGTAGAGGCAGGGCTTTGCTTCCTCATGTCAGAGCTTCCAGCAAGAACAACAATAAGAAGCACAGTAGTGACATCACCAATCTCCTGTGACTAGAAGTCAGAGGCAGCAGGTCTCACACTGCAGGTACATACAGCTATAAAACTGTTGGCACAGGGCATAGGCACTTTCATATACCAAGAACTGTAATGATATTTTGCAAGAAGAGTTCCAGATAAAAAGGTCAATCTTTTAGGCTTTTGCTTGGGCACAATTATCATATTTGAGTCCAGATCAAATTTAAAAAGGTTGCTTTTTTGCCTTATAGCCAACGTTAAATCGGCCAGTGTGGAATGCACTTCAAATTGGAACAGACATAGGTTATCTCTAGCAAATAAACTCAAATGGAAACATGATAAGCATGCAGTCCAAATGACTTTCTGTACTTATCCTATGCCACATCTGAAGAAGTTATTACAAACTAGTGCAGAATTCAGTGTATTGCTTTTATAAAATGTGACCAATAGAGAACGTCTTTTCTTCTAATGCAAAAGGTACATCATTTGTTTACTGCCAGAGTTTGCTCACAAACATAATTAGAGTATAGAAAGATTAGGAGAATTCATTGTAAAGGGTAATTGTTAATCTAAGTTCAGTCAGAGTATGGACAATCTGTATAGAAGACAGTCATTTAAGACTGATCTGTGCCATAGCGGTTAGGTCCAGGCTGAGCTAGTGAATTAGCCAGTTCTCTGTATATTACAATCGAGTGTTAATGCTATATTAATCATCTTGATAAATTGTCTTCTCAAAAGCTATGAGGTTAGAAGTAACATTTCAGTGAATGCAATGCAAGATCAAGAAGTTTCACAGCGAAGACTTGGGGAATCTGGATTTCTTTTCTTCCACAATTTGCCCAAATAACCTGGCCGCCTCCAATGCGCACCCCCAGTGGATGGTTAGACCGTATCCGCCATGGCCATAATTATGTATGAGCTGTGAAAGAGAGAGGAGGAGGGTTAGGTAAAGGTCACTAGATATAGTTTTGAAATGTTTACCATACTTTCCATTATAATAAAAAGGCCAAACAATCTTCTATTATATATATATACATACATACATACATACATACATACATACACACACAATTCCCATTACTATGAATTATTATACAAGTATAATGCACCAGCAGCAAATTACAGAGACACAACACAGTGCTAAAGATAACATATACATTATCTGGAACAAAGACAAATACAGTCAAGTTTTAAGCTAGCAATACACCTAAAGATTTCTCATTCAGCCCAACTGTCAGAATACCCGCATAGTGACTGCAGCTGATTGGACGCAGTCACTGTTCAACCAACTGATCAATGCGTCCAGGGATAGTGATCTATTCCTAACCACATGTAATCCTATCACATACAATTACATGTGGAGTACCAGTTAGAGATACGCTCGCTGTCATGCGATCATTAAGTTAAACGGGTGACAGGAGCAGCTTCTGAACAACATATCTGGTGCAGGAATGTGTAAATTACTGCCACAGGGATCCCAAAACGCACATTCACACCGCAGTGTGAATGTAGCCCAAGTTCTAGATCTGACCCATACCACTTTCTACCTCCTTGAGACTTTTGTCCCTGCATCTCTTTAATTTCCATCCCAACACTCCGCCTGCATGTCCAGTTACAATCTGATGTGTTTGGATAGCCTTACCTGCATCTAAATCCTGGGTTATCCAAATGGAAAGTGGAGAAAGAGAGAGTTATTAAAGACAAACTCCAGGTATATGAAAAGTAGGGCTGGTAATGATTAAAATTTTCGTGTCCGATGAATCTAAATCTTTGTTAATCGATTCATTTCGATTAAGTATAACGCACATACAGATCCAACTAAATTGGCCTATTGTCAGAGGAAAAATGCTTACTATATATGGTTATACTCGTATATGTGTGTAAATGCTTAGAATCATCAGAATTGTATGAAAAGCAGAAGTAGAAACGCGCTTTGAAAGTAATTTTTGTTGCTGCAATGTACGGCTATGACGAGAACCAATAAAGTTGAGACACATTACGGAACTCATCTAAAGCCTTCCCTATATAAACAAATGTAATCTATGTATCCAATAGACAAGACACAGATGATGGTCTGACAGGCTAACCCTTGTATATGCAGCCCTATAGCACGGGTTACAAGAGTTTGAACCATCGGACACCATCTGATCGCCCACATTTGTCAATGAGTCTTGTCTCCTCGTACGAGAAATAAAGTATCCAATTGAACTTGGAGATTGTTCGGACCTGATTGTTCGGACCTGATTGTTTTATGGACATCGACGTCAAAGGACTCCTCCCCCCTTCCCTTCATTAGCTGACGGAGCCACTTGGGAAAGGGGGAGGAGTCCGGTATCGTTGATATCCGTGACGTCACCGGATCGCCAACGGGACTCCCGGAAGCCGGCGGAGAGGTGAGTGTTTTCATTAGTGATCAAAATAATTTTAATCGATCAAAAAGTTTAACGATTCATCGAGAAATGAATCTTTAATTTCCACAGCCATAATAAAAGTTAACCCTAGCAGTGGGACTAACTCCCCCCAGCCCCCATGCACTCCATAAGTAGGAGATGGATTTCTGTCCATCTATAAAAATCTGCCAGGAGATCAGATGGTATAAATGTATAACGTGGCAGTAGCTATTCATGCCGATAACGTGCGTCTGCCCATTGATTTCCAGAAGCTGAAGATGGACATCTCATATTAAATGCACTTACATCACTCTTAACAGGTCCTGAGACAAAGGGCTCTCTCTCCAGCCTCACTTTACTTCGTGTTGGTCTCAGTCCCGTCCAGTCATGCACAATCTTTGCATTCTGCAGGATATGAGGGAAAAAAAAGGAATTTAATAGTAATGAAAAAATGATTTCAGATTATTTGGAATGATGAGTGCTGAATTCTGGTACAGGGACCCTTCAAAAGAAATCTGTTCCACAAGACTTATATAAGCTGTCATTGCTGACCTTTTTCTAAAAATGCTTTTTGCCTGACATGCAGTAGAAGGCGGCAAAGTAAAATCATAACTACAGAGCTTTTGGGTCCATTCACATGTGTGTGCAGGGTGGAACACTGCCAGATCAGATCTGCTTGATTGATTACATGCAAACAGAAGCCCTTGGATTAGTATGAGAGTCACTCAGTCAGCAATGCAAGCTTCCATATTATCTCACTACAGGTTTTCTTTCGCTGTATTATTTCTATGGAGGACTTCACCTTTGTTGAAAAAAAAAAAAATACATCACTATTGTCATAATTTGTATTCCAAAAGATAAGCTATATTATCTATTTTAAATATTTTGCAATTGCACATGCTGTACACTAGATCATTGCACCATACAAAGCTATGGCCCTGATTTTACTAAGCATATGGTAAGATATGGATTTTCAGTATAACCTTCAATAAAGCAGACATGGGACATGCATTTCTTTGTGTAATTACATATTATAGTGCATAAATGCACAATTCTGGATAGAATAGGAAAAAGGTTACAAACTCTCTTTTTTTCTACTTCTGTTTGTGCCCCCAGTTGTGCAGATTCAACCTGACTTTCTGTCCTGGTAATAGTTGTCACCACTGCTGTCTTTGTCCATAATGGATGAGAAGAAACCTCCCTATCATAAGAGGAGATTCCAACCCTTAAGAATTGTCACCAGAACAGATGCTTCAATTGGGAAAGTTCCCTCTCCGTGTTCCAGTGACAACTGTCAATGGTGGAATTTTCCTAATTCCAATTCACTTTCCTATGGGAGTGGAACTCCAGACAAAAAAATCTTTTTTGTTTTGGATAGACTGAGTTAGAAAGGGTTAAAACATCTATCAGATTTTTACTGCTGTCTTTGCCCATAATGGATGAGAAGAAACCTCCCTATTATAAAAGGAGATTCCAACCTTTAAGGATTGTCACCAGAACAGATGCTTCAATTGGGAAAGTTCCCTCTCCGTCTTCCAGTGACAACTGTCAATGGTGGAATTTTCCTAAAAAATTCCACCATTGACACAGCAGTAGAAATCTGATAGATGTACAGCAGTAGAAATCTGTTAGATTAATGTTGTGTGTAGTTGATACAATCATATGACAGACATATCTGATTTTCTGGTATGTATTTCAAGGTGTATTATAATAGAAATGGATATAATATATACATGTACTTAACTCCTATTGCCTACTTGTGTGAATATTAGGCTTCGTTGTTAAATTACAACAGACTGTACCAGACTGAATGTTTATCACGCTCACCTTAAGACTAGGAACCAGCTCACAGCAGTTTTCCCAAATCCATTTATGATCTTGGGACACCTCTTCTTCATTCCAGTTCCCTAGCTGGTAAATTCCACCCAGGGTGACCATCTGAGACCTGAACATACAATAGGTATTAACAATGCAAACCCACAGACAATTGTTTTAAAACATTCAATATTCCTAATTTGACGTGTGTATCCATATGGGTGGGGTCTAACTATATCTTGTTGGGTGTCTCCTCTTTATCCATCCTGTTTGGGATCCTCCTTCTACACTTTGTAGCTTCCAAAAGTAAGGAGGGATCCCAGCCAGAAAAAAATGGTTATAACTGCGCAGGGAGCTCTTGAAAGGCAACTACTTTGTGTTCTCTGTAACAATATTGACACTAAAACCATATTTACTATGTGACGAATAATGTAACTGTTAAATGACTGGTGGATCACTTAGCATACTATACTCACCCAGGAATGATGTATGGCGTGGTATATACTCCTGTCTTTAGATCGTGAGTCACAATGAAGTGTTTCATCCATGGAGCAAGAACCTAAAACATACAGCAGCTATATCACACAATATATTTGTAACCATCATATTTCTCTGTCCATCTGATGAGTCATACCTTGTTTAAACAAAAAGCCTCCAGACCTTCGACAAATAAACTTTTCCTAATTCCCCACAAAAACTTTTTTTTTTTTTTAAATGTAGGATGCTCTACACTCTACAGAGGTCTTTTGTTGTAGAAGATATAACTTCTCAGGGACATGGAATTGGAGGCTCTACAATAGTAATGACAATAGTTTATTGGTACACTAGTGACAATTAACACTTATTTCTTTAGAGTTTAAAGTGAAACTCCTGCCAAAATCTTTATTTTTGGATAAAGTGGAGAAGATTAACTAATCGCGAATAATCGGCTTTCCTCGTGGCCCCTAGATGAATGACCTTTGGCATCCTTTTTCAACCAGGGCTGTAACTCTACAGTACCGGCAAGAAGTTGCTAGGGGTTCCTTGACAAGCCAGCACCGGTGAACTGATCTGTCTACACTACCCATCAATGTAAGGGGGCATTACACTGACCACTTGTGTAAAATGACCCTATGATTTTTTACTGTGTCTGCTTTGTCATCCATTAATTAATTCATGGTTAGTACTGAAAAATATTTTTGCAATGCAGAGCATGAGGGTGTTGAAAATGATTGGTCCTGGGTGACAAATCCTTTGGCTAGTCCACCATCTTTCTTCAGTTTTATGAAAACTTCCTACAGCTTGATCATGTTAATATTCCATGTGCTGTCGATATAATAATTCTAGCAAGGGTTTCCTAAGACCTAAAACTATTTTAACGGTTCCTCCAGGCTAAGAAGGTTAGGAAAGGCTTGTTAATGGTGTCCTTATTTAAAGTGACCCTTTCCATTGACTGTGAAATCCCGATTGAAAGGACCTCAGCTACTTGCATGCATATTATGTGCACAGTGTCCAAAACAGTGCATGCACAGGCACGTGAGCAGTTTTATAGATTAAGAGTCAACATCTATTTTTCTTCTTGGATGTGCAGGACAATTGAGCAGCACCTGAGGAGGAAACCACAGATGGGCAGCCAAGTACAAAGAGGTGCTTACAAGGCTGCACAGAACACTGTGGAGTTTCAGTAAGCTGATAAGCTATCTCCATGCTAAATTGCTACTGCAATTTGTACTTGTAAGGTTGGAAGCTCATTTTTTAATTCATATAATGTCTTTTTATTGCTGGTTGTGTACCCAATGTGGATATATCCCTTCAGATCCATCCCCATGACACCCTTGACACCTTTTTCTAAAGCTACACAAAGTTTTCACTGGAGCTGGACTTCTACATACACCAAATTGTACAATGTAAGCATTTTAAATATAAAAATAAATTGGACAAGTATAAAATACTGAAGCCCAGTAAACATTATCCAAAACACATTAAAGCACTGGCCATAAAATATATAATAGACACACACACTGTATATATAACAATAACATTGCTCTACTTTGAAATCTACATAGAACCATTCATATTAATACCTGTTATATTGTCTAAGGACATATGTTTTGTGTTATTTTCACTTTGTGAAAATGCAGATGGATGGTAATGTTAGTTACTCAAGGTCAACAAGAAAACAGCAGGATACATCAAGTAAATGTTTTTTACATCACTATCACAAACATACCTTCAAAATCTGCCCTCTGCCTGGTTTTAAATCTGGATCAGGCTGCAGCTGCCCTGAACGCATTCCTGTGCAGTTAATGACGACATCTGCCCCTTGAGCAGCAAGCTATAGATTGAGAGAGAAAAAAAGCTATGGGAGATAAAACTTAATCTGGAGACAAACTGTCTTTCTCTTTGACCCATATAGATGAAGAAGAAATTTACAGTGGGATTTACTCAAACTTTTTTTTTGTATTCACGCATTGAGACAGGGTTTGGTCCTCTGCTGGTTCTATATGTCTCCATTACTCAGATCAGGGGAAATATTTCCCTGTCTCTTGCCTTACCATGACAGCCAGAACATTGCTGTGATCTAACCTTATTGGTTCCTTCACCCGGAGTCCATTTTCCATATTTTCCTATGGAAAATCTACTATAGGACTGGTGAAATTATAATACTAAGACATCACTAAGCTCAGTCTTCCAAGCCCAACTCAATGTTAACACAACTTTGCCCAGCAGGTTTTTTTTTTTTAAACAAGCAGCTCTGGTTGAAAATATCACCTCTTCTTTGGAACTGTCACCTGTAGACTCATCCGATCTGCGATCAAGCCCTGGACCTTTTCCGAGTTGAATGCCACCCAGCATCCTTCAACCCATTTTCTATAAGTGCAGATAATCATGCTCCTAGAGGGGGAGGCATTACCATGACACCCTGCATTCATATGCATTGTCATATGCGTTGTATACTCATATGCAATGATGCAGAGAAGGTGCTAAAGAAATCACGACAATAACACTCTACATTAATGAGGACCGCCCAGTGCTGGAGAAGAGGTAAAGATGTCTTTGCAGCCTTATTTGGCCAGCCAGGCGACTTTAATAAAGGTAAGTATAAAAATAGAATAGAAACAGTAAATGCCTAACATGTCTGATGTGTGAAACAATTGATAAGCTGCACTCAAGGTTTCAATCCCACATTAAAAACTGTACTGACCAGAAATCAATGCACGTCCTGCTCCTCTCTCTAATGCATCTCCTTCTGTAATAGGGCTTAGTCATACTCCTACCAACTCACGTCTATTGCAGAGTAAAATGTATCTGAGGGAAGAGCTTTGAAAGGTTGTGTATTGACTTCTAGTCAAAGTTTTTCAAGTGGGATTTATGCTTGGAATGTGCTTTACACATTTTTGCAGGCATTCGAATCTCGTCTTAAAGGAGAACTATGGGGTTAGGGCTTTTCCCCATAGCTCTCCTTAGGGTAACGGGAGGACACAAAATAGCGTCCTCCTGTCACCCTAAGCTCAGTATACTGCGAGCTAAAGCTTGCGGTATACTGAGACGCCGCAGCTGAAGCGGATCCCGACAATTATGTCTGGATCCGCCAAGCTGCGTGAGTGACAGCTGGCTCTGCCTATCTAGAGGCAGAGCCAGCTGTACCCGCCCCCTCCCCCGTCCGTTCCGACCAGTCAGCGCTGGAGGATCGGAGCGGGGAGGGGGGAATCCAGCCACTCCCCTGTCACGGCAGAGAGCTGTGACAGGTTCAAGAGGTGAGCGAACGCCGGTATGTGTTCACTCACTTCCCGATCTACTGAGCCGACCTGTGACAGTCTCAATGTCACAGGTCAGCTAGAACTATGAGGTGAGTGAAAAGCACTCGCCTCATAGTTCTCCTTTAATGCTGGAACAGAGGTCATGACATGCATTAAATGGATTAATGGATGTATTTTATTTTAGGAATCCGTGCTTCACTAAAGAGAGAATCTAAAAGTGGAAAGCTCTGCATCTACTGCCCTTTGGGGCACATATTAAAACTCACCACTGTTCCTAATAGAAATGTAAAGGCTTCTATTTCTGGCCTCCTAAATAACCAAATAAAACCAACTACTTTTTTTTCAGTATCGTTAAATCACATATCTGGAACAAGCATGTAACAATTGAAAGCAGTATGAAGACAGAATTCCTTATATTCAGGCTTATTCTGGGTAAGTGACTCAGATAATAGGAGTCAAACCATAACCAAGGTAGCCAGACGGCATTAAAAGAAAAATTAGAAGAGTTTTGTCCCGCGTGAAGCGCTCGTCAGGGGGTACCATTCAAGAATTTGTGACATACTGCAATTCCAACCCCTCTAGACTGAGCTTCACATATGTCACCGACCAGTCTTGTCTAGTGTTTCTTGACCTCGAGCTTACACATTCCGAAGGAAAAGTCACCACAAAAACACACTTCAAACCCACTGCCGGCAATTCCTATCTGCATTTCAAGAGCTGTCACCACCCCCTCTGGAAGCACAATGTCCCCAAAGGCCAATTCTGGAGAATAAATAAAAATTGCACCAAGAAGTCCGACTAGATCCACCAAAGCCTCATTCTCAAAGACAAATTTCTTGAAAAAGGCTAACCTAAACACCTCATAACAAAGGCCCGCGATCAGTTCACCACCACCATCCAAAAACCACCCCGTAAGAAACCAGATCACCCACAGCCAAAAAACACAGCTCGCTTCATAACCCCATTCAACAATAGCTACAAAGCCATTGAAGCCATTCTACGCAAGAATTGGCATCTACTACTATGTGACCCCCAATTAGGGTCAGTACTCCCACCCAAACCCTCCGTCATTTTTAAAAAAGCCCGCAGCATCAAAAATATAGTGGCCCCTAGCAAAATAACTACCCTCAAACCCAAACTGAGACAGACACTCTTATTCAACAATAGGACAGGGATGCACAAATGCAAGAAACGGCTGCGTCTCACGTGCCAGTTCATCTCCCACTGCCAATCTTGCTTCCATGACAGCATAGGCAACAAATTCACCATCACCCAGTTTATCACCTGCGCCCATGACCACGTCATCTACTGCCTGCAATGCCCTTGTAATCTACTCTACATAGGTCGAACCATCCGCCCCCTCCACAAGCGGATCAGGGAACACAGGAGATTCATTGACCACAGCGTCCCGCGCCATTTCCTCCGCAAACACCAAAAAAACACATCACACCTAAAAGTTTTCGCAATAGAACAAATCCCTGACAAACTACCCCCCACCGAAAGATTCCATCTCCTTTGTAAACAAGAGACATACTGGATTTTCAAGCTTACCACACTGGCACCCCATGGTCTAAATGAGGAATTGGAAACAAATACCCTCATTTAAGTCCACCCTTTCCTCATTATAACTTTTAATGATGTTTTGTGTCATCCCGGCACCTCTGCCCAGTTTACCCAGACCCCACACTGTCACCTATTCATTCACGTCCCAGATGGGAGTGTTTGCAAGCATGCAGCCCCCAACACGCTCAGATCTGGCATTAGCTTGGACCTTATGTCATATGAAGAATAAACAAGCTCTCTTGTTTTCCCTCAATGAGAACCTGCCACCATCAAGTAATCATTCTACGTTCTAATCCGTTTTCAACCCATCATCCAGGACCCCTCTACACGCCCCAAACTCTCGCCCACGGTCTAGTCCCTTCATGGGGAGTTTGCTTTCTGTTTCAAACCCCGCCCCAACCCGAAGTACGGCTCAATCCAGCTGCCCCCACCTACGTTCAGCCCCCCGCCAGCCTATCAACACCATATTCCCCCCCAACTCCGCCCATACATTCCCTCACATCGTCTAGAGGCTTCATCCTCGCTGTTTGCAGCCCCGCCCACATGTATCTGGCCCCTCCCCAACCCCAGCATTTAAAAACCTCCACTTCCCGCCAAGTTATCTCCCTGTACTCCGGCTTGAAAAAGAAGGGTTACCCTTCGAAACGCGTCGCCAGCCACAGCTCACCACGGCCTGCACATTGACGAGTGTTCCTAACACTCCCTTTCCACACGGGCACGGTGTAGGCACCCGCTCACGGACACTGCGCTCCACCGCCCGTTCCGCCACAGCTCCTGACAGCCTGTGACACATGGCTCTCGCTGACATCAGTCCACCATCCCCATCGGGATCACACCTGCGCTCCGATTGGTCAACATTAGACTCCGTCACCTTCCCCCTGGCAGCACTTCCGTCAACAGCCGTTCACTGTGACATCCCGGCAGCTCCTCTGCCCCGCGGCTCCCAGGCTTAGCACTGACCGTCCCTCGGCTCTCCCGTCGACATCAGATCACCCTGCAGCTCCAGCCACCAGAAGCTACCATCAGGACCCCGAGGACAACAGCCACCCAGAAGATCACCCCATCATCATCCTGGCTAAACACCAACCTTGCCGTCGTCGCTGACATCATGCCTCCTCCATCCCAACGGTGAGTCTCAGAAGTTCTTACATCCTGACCCGTCCATCCCAACAGTGAGTCTCAGAAGTCCACCCCCCCCTTTTGACTACCAAAATAACCTCACCCCCGGTCCTTCTACCCTTGTGTCCCCAACCACACTACCGGACACGAGGAACCGAAGCCATCAAACAGAGAAGGGGACCGAATCCACCGCTCGACTTCACCGCTTCACCCCACCCTAGGGGCCACACGTTTACGCTCACCCAGCTACAGGTGAGACCATTACCTTTCTTTCCTGCCACACCGAACCACATTTATTGCGCCAGGTAGTGGCGCTTCCGTCTCTTCCAATTTTTGTAGACGGCATTAAAAGGATGACAGCATTGGCAGCCTACAATCCTTTCCTATGACAGGTGTCTCTTAAGTCTTACCTCTGCAAAACTTTCAATCTTCTTCTGAATAAACTTGGCTCCTCTCTCCTGTAGTCTACAAAAAAAGAATTCAGAATAAAATGACTTAAACATATTTCCTAGTATGGATGTACAGGGCAGATTCTAAAACCACACATACAGGTGAAACTCGAATAATTAGAATATCGTGCAAAGTTCATTTATTTCACTAATGCAACTTAAAAGGTGGAACTAATATATGAGACTCATTACATGCAAAGCAAGATAATTCAAGCCGTGATTTGTCATAATTGTGATGATTATGGCTTACAGCTCATGAAAACCCCAATAACCCCAAATCCACAACCTAAAAAAAGTAGATTATTACATGCAATCAATAAAACAAGGATTGTACATAGAACAATATCGGACCTCTGAAAAGTACAAGCATGCATATGTACTCAGTACTTGGTTTGGGCCCCCTTTTCAGCACTTAATGCAATTACTTTTGCACGATATTCTAATTATTCGAGTTTCACCTGTAGAGCTACACTATATTGCCAAAAGTATTGGGACACCCCTCCAATTTATTGGACTCGTGTTTTTCGGTGGGTGGATGCTAGATTTTGTAGAAAGCAGCACCACATAATGACACGGTGCCGCTCTCAAGAGAATTTTCTTGTGAGCCCAGGGTGGTGGGAAGGGATGAAGTCTTGATGCCCTGGGCTCACAGGAAGTGGGTTCAATTATGGATTCAATTATGTTGGGTGTCATTAAACCAAGAAAAGGGATCGGTACTGCTTGATCAGTCAATCTGCAGGGGACAGCACCAGATATCGGGTGAATATAGCAGGCAGAGCTGATTTTTATTTGTAGAAAAGGCTGGAGCATGATATTTCATTTTTTTTGCCCAAGCTGGAGTTGCTGAACATGCCTATACACAGTCACAATTAATTGCCATGTTCCCTATTGGATCTCTTCAAACAAAAACATATGTTTTACGATGGAACATACTTTTGGGTTAGCCAAGGTAAGTAGTTTTTTCCCTCGATCATCAATGCGGTGTTAAACCAGCCATAACTACAATAAAAAAAAAAAAAAGTGGTTACTAAGTAACATCATTAGGAGAGACAGTGTATACATATTTTGTACGTTGTATATCACACAGGCATGGTATCCAAGTAATCCCCAGTTTTTCCTATCTACTATCCAAGCAGTAATCTGGGTTAAATAAATCATCTGGTTTTTGTTTTAGTTTTAGTTTTGCTTTCGTTATTGCCACTAGAAACATCATTGGACAAAAACACATTTATGTTAAATGAATTTGCAAAGCCCAAGTGATTCTATGCCAATATGCACGCATTTAAGCTGTGCTTCTAAAGGCTGCCTAGGATTAATCATAGATTGTTGCCTCTGAAAACAACACCAGTCATTTTTCTAACAATCACTAAACAGCTGGCTGTCCGGCTTTCCATGATTTCCAGCAAATCAATGATTGTTCATACACTATTGTGCAATGCACCATCACAGTGTGCTCAGTCATCAATAGCAGTGACCAATTTAATTTATTGGTCAAAGTAGAGAAAACACAGCGTGCAGTTGTAGAGACTGATCCAAGTCAACTGAAATCAGTTCACTTGTCACTCTGCAAATTGCTGTTTGTGTTGATAAGGCTTAAAATAGGCCAAAATAGGTGTAAAGCATCTCTAGTCTAAACAGGGACTGCACAAACAATCAGAAAGGCTGTAACCATCTACAGTAGTAATCATGGCCAATGTGGACGGAACACAGACTTACAGCATGCGAGTATTATAAGTATTTTTAAGTGTTTTGTGGCTTCCACAGGAAAACAAAAAAAGGACAAAATATTAAGTAGCATGGTCTATAAAAAAAAGCCATAATTATTCAAATGTAGTTCCAGATATATTCCACAAGATGTCGCCATTTCTAGCACCAACACTGGCAGCCCTCAACCAAGCTAGCAAAAAATAAAGCAAAAGAGGTTGTGTTCCTAGGAGGTATGTATCAAACAGAACTCTGCAGAGCATTTACTACAGGGATGAGAAAAAGTGTCATAAACAGCACACAGCACAAGCCTTCCTCAGCACCCAAAAGAAGAAGGCTCAGCCCTTTATAAAGTTGTACTATTCCTATGTTGCATCAATATCAGAGTAGTGGAAACTTGTCAGTTTCCCAAGTATCAGTTTCCCAAGTAGACATTCATGTATATCAGTGTGTCATTCTTGGTTTTTCAATCTACACTACAAGTACACACCTATACCCAGGAAATAATTCCAGCTCTCTTGGCGTTAGATGACGAAATCCTAGAACATCATCTTTCCATGAAGGCTCCTGGAAAAAAAATTATCATATTGTTAGAATGTCACTTTATCTAAAAAGTGGAGGTGTTTACATGTGTTTTTAGATCAGTTAACCACTGCAATTACATAAAAATTGCTATAAGAAATGGCTTGCATGGAACGGCACGCCAAGGTGAAATGTAAAATCATTAATTTGCATGTTTTGCATTCAAAAAATGTTGAGCTGAGTATGTACTGTATGCTCAGATCTTTTGTTGATGTCATTTAATAGTCAGTTTTCTCATTTCTAGTCAACCAAATATGACAACTACCAGGACTATGTGTAAAATATGTAAGAAACGAAGGCACACGAATGTCAAATCTCCTTTATTGATACCTTACAAGGTCTCGCAGTGTGTGGCCATGTTTCGGAACCCAATCTGGTTCCTTCCTCAGGCAAACAGAGTGACGAGGAGGAAGGAACCAGGCTAGGTTCTGAAACGTCGCCACACACTGCGAGACCTTATAAGATATCAATAAAGGAGATTTGACATTCGTGAACCTGGAGTGTCGGTGATCTCGTTATTTCTACGGTGCCATCCGCACTCAATGCAGCACCCACATACATTTTATTTGGAGATTTTCCGGTCAGGAGTGCAAAGGAAATGGACTGAGTTAATGTAAAATATGACATGTAAGGCCCATTACCTGGTGCAGCGGGGTTGTCTTTAGCTTTTATTCTAAGCAGAACTCCAGGAATGTTATATATTAACCCATGCAGTGAGGCTACCCCCGCACTGCAAGGGTTAACTGCTTGGTTTGGTCTAGGGAGGAAAATAAAGTTATACTCACCTGATCCTCGGAGCAGGCCCGCTGTGACAGCTCCCTCCAGCCTTCTCTTTCTCTGCTGCAGTGATGGAATGTTCCTCGGCATCCTCCATACACAGTGTATAGAATGTGATAACTCACAGGACCTTAGACCGCTGCAGCAGAGGGGGAGAGAGGATCCAGGGACAGGTCTAGAGCAAGCCGTCTCCCAGGATCAGGTGACCAAAAGAACAAAATGAGCACTTAACCCTTGCAGTGCAGGGGTAACCCCACTGCAAGAGCTAATAAAAAATGTTTTATTTAAGGCTGGTAACGTTTTGACACAAATCCGAACAAAGCAGAAACACCCCTTAAAAGAAACAGATGATTATGTACTGAGTCAATTGGATCATGAACAAGGACATTCTATCCTCTTCTGGTAACAACACTTTTACTGCTCTCCCCCTCCTCCCACAATGCTTCAGCCAGCAGGCATGCAAAGCAGTGAATGGAGTAAAATGGGCTGTAGAGGTCTGTGAGTGTGTGTGTAATGTTCAGTTAGGCCTAAGCTATGCTAGCTAGTTTTATTCTAATAAGTACACAAAGAAAATAGCATTAAAATGTATTGTTTTCTGATAAAATAGCAGATGCAGTTTTTCATTTCTAAGTCCAAGAATCAATAACGTGGTATCGGGCAATGAAATTCACTTTAGACATGAGCAAATCCTTATAGGTGAATCACGTCATTAAGTGATGGAGGTCAATCGCTGCACATAGTCCAAATAGGGCAATCATGTCATACTAATGCTCTATGCTAAGGGAGGGGGGAAATGTTTGTATACTCTGCTACATCATAAGGGACCAGATGGGTCAGCTCACTCACTGGCAGGGCACATTTTGGCAAATGTAGCAGCTCATGAGTACATGCCATGCTGTGGGAAAGAAGATCATTTATTGTAGCGCCCTGTTCATTTTCCTGCTAGGAGATTATAATTATTGATGTAATAGGGAACTGGATGATTTGGAGAATTGATTACAAGTATAATGGGCCCTTTTAGCCAATAAAACAAGCAATATGAATGTTTCAAGCATCATGTCAAGCAGACTATGGGGTGTATTTATAAAGAATTCACAGAGTGTATTTTCTATGCTCCTAGTAGCCAAAATGTGGTATTTTTATATTACATTCAACTTCAATTGATTGCTATGAGTAACAGGAAATCTCATCCCTTAGATAAGGCACACTGTGATATTGTGAACTTTGTAGCCTTTTGGTAGGCTACATGCATATTAGATTAGATCATATTAGATATTAGTAGAACAGACAATAAGGCTGCATTCACACCATGCATGCGTCAGCATTTTCAGGCATATTAGCATGCTTTCGTCTAGCGTGTTTAGCACAATTTTGCACATTTTTGTGCGTGTTAGAAACTCACACATCAACACGCACATTTTAGCGGGCAGATTGAAAGACTTTGCGGTCAATAGACAAACGGGCGGAAAAAAAGCATACAGAAGTGTGCAAAACACTTGTTTCGGCGTTTCCATTGAAGTCTATGGGGCCAAACACGCTATAACCTGCCAAAAAAAAAGCTCATGTACTTTTACCAGTGTTTCGGGTTTTACAGCTTGTGACATAACCAGGGCTTGAAAAATTTGGCGGTGTCTCACCAGTCAGTCAAAAATTTCACCAGTCAGCATGACCTGACTATAGCCTTGCAATATATGTAAAAAAAATTTGGGGACAGAGAGCTTTGTTTTGTGACCCCACGGGGGGTTATTTGTTTTTACTTTATAATGAAAAAAGTACCATAAATGTTAAAAGAAAAAGTTTCCCTAAGTTATAAAACATTTATTCTTACCCATATTTTTAGTACAACATAAAAGTCGGGGTCACGTCGTGTAAATAGACACCAAACATGTAACACAACTTTATTGCTATTACATGGGGGGCTAAGAAGCCCCCTATGGGATAGCTAATTTACATGACAGGTCCTCTTAATGGAGACATCAGGGGTCTCCAAGACCCTAAAGTCACCTAGGGACCCCCAGAGAAGCTGATGAGGCAGAGATCGGCTTCATCAGCTTCTCTAGCTGGAGAGTGACACTGAATGCAGGAAGTGATGTAATATACATCACTTCCTGCATTCGGGGACTGAGAGGAGATCAAAGGGAGTTCGTGTACTGAACTCCCTTTGATCTCCTGTCACAGAGCCGTGCCGGTCCCGGCCGCATCGGGCACAGCAGATCTCGGGACCGGCAACGGCAGTGACAGCTTCTGACACAAGCGATCGAGCGTCTCTATAGACGCTCGATCGCTTGACTGTAAAGCTCCCGGCCGGCCCTGTAATTACAGCGGCCAGCCTGGGAGCTGCTCGTCGGGCTCCACTGTCTGCACGTCACAGACGAGCAGACGAGTGGATTTTCGAGCCCTGGACATAACCCTCAGGTGTGAACAGAGCCCATTGAAATGAATGGGATTTCTTGTGTTGAGAGTTTTGTTGCGCTTAGATTTGAGTGTCAAAATACCTAGGTGTGTACAGGGACTGAGAAGGGACAGAGAACAGATCTAAGGACAATGATAGGATAAGAGCATTTACCAGCTACATTCATACATGTTAAAGTGACACTAAACTCAGACGTTAAATCTTAAAAATGCATTGAAGTACCTTACCTGTTAAAAAAATATGCATCTTATTTGTGTATCACTCAGCTGTAGATCCTCAAATCATCTCTGAATTGGCGCTGACCGTGATGGACTACAATCTCAATATAAATTAGTAAACTAAATATGAGATTGTAGTCCATCACAGGAGTGAGCTTGAAGCGGTAGCTACTTTACAACACACACACAGGGACCATGGGGAACAAAAGTAGCCACCCTCCAGAAGGAAGGACAGTGTCAGCACAAATTCAGAGATGATTTGAGGGTCTACAGCTGAGTGATACACAAATAAGATACAGTTTTGTTAATAGTTAAAAGGAGATCTATGAGGTGAGCGATTTCCACTCATCCTCATAGTTAGAGCCGACCTATGACAAAGAAGCTGTCACAGGTCGGCTCTATAGAGCGGGAAGTGAGCAGAAACATGCAGTCGAGCCGATCGCTTCCCGATTGTCTCCGTGCAGTGAGCGGTGACCGTCAGTCACTTCTCCCCGCAGGGATTCCCCCCTCCCCTCTCCGATCCTCCAGCTGAGTGGAGAAACGGAAGGGGGAGGGGGCAGGAACAGCTGGCTCTGCCTCTAGATAGGCAAAGCCAGCTGTCACTCACGCAGATGGGTGGATCCAGACATTATTTTCGGGATCCGTCCCGGCTGCATCACTCTCAGTATATTGCGGGCAATAGCCAGCAATATACTGAGCTTTGGGTCACAGGAGGAGGTTGGTATATGTCCTCCCGTGACCCTAAAGAGAACTATGGGGGAAAACACTTACCCAATAGTTCTCTTTTAAGGTACTTGAATGTATTTTTAAGATTCAGCTCCTGAGTTTAGTGTCACTTTAATTTAAATCTGTAAACATGTCAATATATGTTCAGCATGTTGCACAGCAAAATAACGGTCTCTCTAGTCTCTGTACATACCGGTGCAGGTTCCTTGAGCAGATTGTATCCAGACTGCAGAAATAACCCCATGCTTTGGGCTTCTTCAGAATGTACAAACCTTAGCAGATAATCAAAGGTTTCCTTGTTCCATCGGCTGCAAAAAAAAGGAAGCAAATGCTTTAAATTTTGAAATAAACATAAGAAAAGACAAACACAGGGAACCCACAGAAAAAAACCGAAACATTGATATTTACTTGGGGTTTATACGCAGTAACCTCTATTAATAACAAATTAGACGCTTATTAAAGTACAACGCTATTGTCACTCCTGTGACTTAAACATAAATACTTACGTTTCTTGCTTGTTCCCATGGTCATATAGATATGGCTGCCATAGCCCGGCTGCTCCATCACTTGTGGTGAGCGGAGTAAACTTGTCTGCATAGATCTCAATCTTTAGAGGGTGCACTGTGCGGTGGTACTGATCATGAATACATAGTGCTGTGGAGAGGCCAATCACTCCAGCTCCTATTACTGCGACATGCATTTTCCTGACCACTGATCCCCTGCAGGACGAAACAAGTGTAAAGTTATACATGGTGCTTATCCATTTTATAGCATTAATAGTCAGTCCAGAAAAAAACTGGTAATCAACACCTAACAGTTCCTATAGCCCTCAAGAATTCTGTCACTGAGTTCCCAAGTCAGCACATTTGCAGAGATTATTAGAAGGGGGCCCTCTGGGAGCAGGTATGTGAGAAGAAAGAGGAGTGTGATTGGTGTGTGGTGTTCCCTTCCCCCTTCTCCACCCATGTATACTGTAGAGATGTCACAGCTTCGGACATCGGGAGAGGTACCCTGCAGGGGCAAGTGAAAGCAGTTAGAATCCTCTTCCTGGCTTGTCTGAGAGCACACACTGGAAATTCCACCACAGTAGTCCAGATCAAGTAAGACCATACACCTTGTATAAGGGATCCGTGACCAAGTCCCCACTCCTTACACCCTATACAGGGGGGATCAGTGACCAACTTCCACCCCATACACCCTGTACCAAGTAACAGATCAGTGATCATGTACCCACCCCATACACCTTGTACAGTGGAACAGATCTGACATTCACCAGACACTGACTGCAGGCTGAATCTCAAGACACACACTATATATATATAAATGTATTTAAAAAAAATATTGTACAAACCCCCCCTTTCACTTGTTTTCATTGGTGTGGTGGTGTTATTATAACTTGTAATTATGACCCCCATATTACAGGGATCCCAACCTGAAATTGGGGTTTTTTTTTTAGTATTCTGACAGCTGCTGCCGTCAGAATAAAAAAAAGAAGATGGCATAGAAATGAATAGCTAGACTGCTATTGGCTATTTGAATTTGCGAAAGCCAATAGCAAGCTACCTATTGCACCCGCCCTCTGCTGCTGTCAATCAGCAGAGAGAGGACCTGATGGAGAACTTCAGGTCCACCTCTGCTGATTGACAGCAGCAGTGGGCATGTGAAATAGCTAGTCTGCTATTGGCTATTGCAAATTCAAATGCCGTCTTTTTTTTTTTTTACTCTGACGTCGGCCGGCGGCTCCGATATCAGCGTAAAAAAATAAAAAAGAACAGACAGCAGGGAAAGGTTTACTCTGCTAGATCGAGCAGAGTAAACCTTTCTGGGAGAAAATGTTTCTCTCCTGGGAGCCGCCATCTAATATCGAGAGACTCCCGGAATGTCCGTAAGAGTTGTGATGTCTGATATTACCAGCTTTATTGGTGGCAGTATTAAAAGTTAAGTGTTAGGCCTCTTTCACCCAGAGCATTCTGGAATTCCTGTGACAGAAACATATGGATTCCTGTAGCAGGAATGCCAGGTGTCCTGTTTAGATACGGTCGCTGCACCTGTACAGGTTAATGAAAGGGTGGCAGTAGCTGCATTTGTAGGTGCAGTCCCCATGTAGTTGTATGGGGTATGATTACATGAGGTTTGGAATAGATCAATATGCCTGGACGCATCTATCCTGCATCCAGGGACAGTGATCTATTCCAAACTGCATGAATCATATCATATATAAATAATATATGCTGCAGCTCAGGCACTGTGCAACATGACTGTAACAATGTGTTTAGTGGAATTTTGTTTTTGTGGGGTGGGGGGACCCAAACAAAATACAAAATGTTGCTATGGGGCCCTGTGATTTCTAGTTACGCCCCTACGCCCCTGCCTGCTGCATCCCTGAAAACTCTTCAGATCAGATCCTAGCAGCACCTTTACCCACTACGGGCTGAGACTGAGGTACAACAGTTCCACGTGACCACAAGTCAAAAACTGAGCACGGCCATGGAACCTAAGAACCCCTGCACCTCAGCCTTCTTTCCTACTGCTGACCAGGCCCCCTCCTCTTCCCCGGGCTCCATAGAGGCCACGTGGGCCGCTACGGCGGTAGTTCCACCACTGGTGACAAGCACGTTATTTGACAACAAAAAGTTTGGAATCCCCCTGAAATGGCTCTACAGGCCGAAATGATTGGCCCCGTAAACTCATTTTATAACAATGTGAATCTGTATGGTGAAAGTAGCTGATTCCAGACAGGACATTGTGCTTTGAGTCATATTATTCACATTAAGTGGAACTCAAACAAAACCTTTTTTTAAGTTTGGAGGGGGGGACTTTAAATTGCCAAGTGTGGTCTTCTCCAGACAGAGGTATTCAAGAGCATAATTCCTTACTTCATCAATAATCACATTCATATACTGTAACTAAAAACCATTAAAGCAGAACTCTAGGGGGCTACCCCCGCACTGCAAGGGTTAAGTGCTCATTTTGTCTAGGGAGCTAGAAATCTCACCCTGTTAGACCAGTCCTTCCAAACTCTCTCCCCCTCCGCTCCATCAGTCTACAGTCCTGAGTCATCATGTTCTATACAGTGTATAGGACGTGAGGACGCCAAAAGGACACATCATTGCTGAAGCAGAGGAGAAGACAGGCTGGAGGGACCAGAATAACAGCCAGCCGGGATCGTGGTTAGAGTGAGTAAACCTTGGTTATTTTAGCTCCCGAGACAAAATGACCACTTAACCCTTGTAGTGCAGGCAGAGCCCCACTGCAAGGGTTAACATTTGGTTTGCCTAGAGTTCTGCTTTAATATACCACATATCTAGGGTTGCATCGTCGTGTATACTTTACAAAAAAAATGCCGCGAGGTGCTACAGTGTTCGGGTTTGGCTTGAAGAAAAGGTGGCAACCCTACACATATCCCTGTAGAATTTACTTTTTGTTTTAAATGTACTGTACATGAATTGTTATATTACCATGTTTCAGTTCTCATTAACCTGTATGAATCCATGCTGACAGCTTTATACTCTTAGATAGTCAGGATGAAAAATGACACATGTCCATCGAGTTCAACCATATGTGGAATCCTCCTAGCAATGTTACCACGCAAGACATTAAAATGCAGATTCTGTATGTTCTGTGTCTGAATTTGATAAAAAGCAAACATCGCCATGCTAAGCATATCAGACACAATGCCTAATATTCAGAAAGCACATGACAGTGTACCTCAGGAGGTAACAGGCAGTAAATGAACAAGTCTCTTCTTAGGATATAGATCTTACAGCCAACTATAAACCGAACAGCAATAAGAAGATAGCATAGATGAAGCAACTATGTGTAAAGTGCAGAACCCATCACAACCACATTTCATCTTTTTTCATTTGACTATAGTAAACTTAAATTCACCACACTGCATATTATACAGTTAAGTCAAGTTTTCTCCCTTTAAAAAAACACAGTGTACTATACGTATACCCAGCCACAGCACATGCAGCAACCCTTGCAGTGGTCAGCAAATATATTCATAAAAAGTAATATAAAGTTTAAAGCTGCAGTACCTGATACTATGAATCATACAAAAGGAGACACATTTCCAGAACATATTACAGTGCATACATCAACATCAACTCGAAGTCACAGCAGCAGACGACATGCATGCAGCATTTGAACTAGGAAGTGAACCGGTTCACTTTCATTTTCTAACTCTCTATGGTATGTGTACAATACATGAGCTCAGTCCAATACATCAAACACTACAGAGGCCAGGAAAAACATTACAATCTCTATTTGTGCCTCTTGTTAGTACACGTCAGTGCTGCTGTCCTTGTGCAACCCAGAAGACTTAGCTGTTCTGCCATAGCCTACCAGAATGAACTGGTCAAAAGGAAATTCCAGCTAATACCATGTAAGAAAATGCAATAATTACCCCTTTTAAACTGTAATGAGGAGTAAGATTAGTTATACACCAGCAACCTATTTTTTATTCTTCTATGCACCCAATTTCCACTTCTGACCCCAACGTGAGATGTTTTTAAGCTTTGAAAGTCAGAAAGGTAATATGTGACCAATATCAATTTTACAATGCATTCATTTTTGTTTTCGCTTCAAAGGAGGCTCTTTTCCTGCGTACATCTGACTTCTACTTGACAATGTCTGTAAAGGTTCTCATTTACCATGGTATAGCTAGTAGTAGTTAGTCACATTCAACTGAACTTGTTCTGTAATGCTGAAGGCATTTTGTAGCTTATCCAAGCCTTCAGTTCTTCCAGTTCAGTGCTCCCACCCAGCATTGCATGTTTCAGCACCTGCTACTGCAGAACTGAAGACATGGTGTGCATAAGGTAGAAATCATCTTCAACATAACAACACAAGTCCAGGTGAATGTGACTAACTACTACTAGCTCTACCTGCAGAACTGAAGATACTAGCTTTACCTGCAGAACTGAAGACATGGTGTGCATAAGGTAGAAATCATCTTCAACATAACAAAACAAGTCCAGTTGAATGTAACTAACTACTACTAGCTCTACTGGACAATCTTAGAATATTTGGCTACATTCACACAGGGCATTCAGGGATTCCTGCAGCAAGAAACTATGGATTCCTGCGGCAGGAATCCCAGGTGTCCCCGTTCAGATGTGGCCACTGTGCCCATTGATATTAATAACAGGGTGACAGCAGACACATCTGTTAGTGGCAGGCCGAATATAATCGGGGATAGATGATTGTCGCTGGATGCTGGGCTGCATCCAGGGACAATCATCTGTCCCAAACCAGATGCAGTCATACCATGCTGAGGCTGCTGTCATCCTGTCATTAAAAAGGAGAACTATGAGGTGAGTGCTTTTCACTCACCTCATAGTTCTAGCCGACCTGTGACAATGAGACTGTCACAGGTCGGCTCAGTAGATCGGGAGGTGAGCGAACACATACCGGCGTTCGCTCACCTCTGGATCCTGTCACGGCTCTCTGCCGTGACAGGGGAGGGGCTGGATTCCCCCCTCCCCGCTCCGCCAGCGCTGACTGGTGGAACGGACGGGGGAGGGGGCGGGTACAGCTGGCTCTGCCTCTAGATAGGCAGAGCCAGCTGTCAGTCACGCAGCTGGGCGGATCCCGGCACAATTGTCGGGATCCGCTTCAGCTGCGGCGTCTCAGTATACCGAGAGCAGCCTAGGGTGACGGGAGGACGCTAGTTTGTGTCCTCCCATCACCCTAAGGAGAACTATGGGGAAAAGCCTTAACCCCATAGTTCTCCTTTAACTTCAATGGGTACACCTGGGACTCCTGCAGCAGAAATTCCACAATGTGGCATAAGTCCTCATGTGAATGGGGCCTTCTAGTTAGCCTTTTCCTATCCTAAAATGTCTGGAACACACACTATATTACACTTGGTGCCTTTCAAATTATTGTGTTCAGGTGTTGCAGTGAAGAGCTTTAGACAATTACGCACTTCCAACCTTGTTGCAACAGTTTGGGGAAAGTTTACAGTGCACAAATTCAGGTCCATAAAAGACATGGACATTGACAAGACATTGACAAATTTTTTTTGTGTGGAGAAACTTAAGTGATCCACACCGAGCTTTGACTTCAACCCTAATAAACACTTTTAGGATGAATTGAAATGCCAATTGTAAGCTAGTTGTTCTTCAGCTTTTTTTGGCTGACTAGGTACAAATTCCCACAGACACACTCCAAAAGCATTTGGAAAGCCTTACCAAAAGAGTGGAGGCTGTTATTGCCGAATAAAGGGGGTCCAACTGCATTTTAAGATCCGTGGTTTTGGAATGGCATGCCCAACAAGATCTGTATGAGAAGTTTTAGAAGTATACATTTTAAAGAGTTGATCTACCCAAACGTGATAGTTTAGTTATAGGTAAAATCTGGTGTGCTAGGTCAGCCCATGGCATCTCCTTGCCATTATTCCTACCTCGTTTCCTGTCCACCTGAGAATTTTTGGTGTTCCCACCCTGCGTTGCATGCTTCAGCACCTCCTATTACATTTTCCAAAATGTAAAATGACCCCTCATAATGAACACAACAGGTGTCCAAACCTAAGAACTCAAATGTTGAGATCTCTTCAATAGAATTCCCAAGAAATGTAAGAAATTACAGATGGTTTAGCTGTTCTACCTGCAACTGATACTGTATATTGGTTTGGAATCAACTGACCCTTTAAAAGTGACACTAAACTCAGGAGTTAAACCTTAAAAATGCATTCAAATATTTTATTTGTGTATCACTCAGCTGTAGATCTTCAAATCATCTCTGAATTGGTGCTGACACTGTCCTTCCTTCTGGAGGGTGGCTACTTTTGTTCCCCATGGTCCCTTTGTGTGTTGTAAAGTAACCACTGCTCCAAGCTCGCTCCCCTGATGGACACTAAATATTGTGTAGTTTAACATTTGTTTTGATATTGTAGTCCATCACGGGACTGAGCTTGGAGCAGTGACTACAACACACAAAGGGACCATGAGGAACAAAAGTAGCCACCCTCTAGGAGAAAGGACAGTGTCAGCGCCAATTCAGAGATGATTTGAGGATCTACAGCCGAGTGATACACAAATAAGGTCCAGTATTGTTAGTAGTTAAGGTACTTGAATGCATTTTTAGGGTTTCACTTCTGAGTTTAGTGTCACTTTAACAGTGAAATCAGTCTTTGACTTATTTTAGGTTTACTCGTTTGTTGTTGAATCTGTTAGATAACTGATAATTATAGTATAATTAAGGGAAAACTACAGGAGGAGGAGTTTCAATTTTTTTTAAATTTAAATACAGATTCATACTTACCTTGGTTAACATTTCTATTCTTGTAGTTAATACTTTACTATGCATTGTGGTGAAGTGCTATAATCACATTAAAGAGATTCTGTCACCAACTTTAAGTGGAACTGAATCCAAAAAGATTTACTACGTAAGGGGACAATTTGGAAATGTTAATTGCACCTAAGTAGGAGCCTGAAAAATGAACCTTTTGTATCACTTGCCCCTCCCTTTTAGATTGTAAGCTGTCATGACCATGGTCCTGCCAACCCCCTTCTCTTGAACTGCATTGTACCGTTACCTTCTCCCTTTATTTTGTAAGGCATGAACTGTTGGTGATATATAAATCCTGTATAACAATACAATAATAATGCTAATAATAATAATTAAAAAAAACCTAAAACTGCCACCATATTTAAGGACTGGAAAGCTGCAACATATTACAGTTTTGTTATTTTGGGTTTAGATGCGCTGATCTCTAGGCACTTTTTTTATTTGTATAGAATGGGGAAGGGTGACGACCACTGTCAGGTCTCTATTACTATCCAGGTTTCCACTGGGAGACCTATCGGCATTCTTTACTTTATTAGACACCAATATGGTAGACTGTTTGAAAGAGAAAAACAAATCAGTCATATTGAATTTTTCAAATCAGGCACTCAATGTTTTTTTATGAGAATGATCTCTTGGTGGTCAATATCTACGCACATGCTTGTTTGCCATAGCAAAGTTCATATGATATGATTTGTTAACATGAACAACACTTTCACATTTCTCATTCAGTTCTTACAGAGGAGGCCCCCTGTGAAATGTTTTTAGCCATATCGCTTTATGTTTTGTACAATGCAACTCACATTTTACAGGTGTAAAAAAAGGAGTGGTACAAGTATGTATGAGTATACATATCATGACTTTGCCAAGTGTAATTAGAGTTTGGTGTTTTGCATGAATAAATAAGGAAGACTCAATGCAACCTTGTGACGTGTCTTACCAGAGTTAATTTTCCTGTATAACTACATTTGCTGAAAATTAAGCCACAGAATTGCACCAAATGGATGCCAAAGGGAGTTGTGCTGTGTGCCATCAGTATTGATGTAGTCATTATGACATGCAATGTACCCTGCAAATTCACTATCAGGAAAATGATTGTAAATGTATATATTCCTTCATTAGTAGATTATCAGATATTTAAAAAATGCTCACTGCAATGAAACTGTGACACGATTGTTTCCCTGTAACTTTATACTGTATTGAAAAGAAACATTTTTGAAAGAAAATGCTCACTGCATCTTGTCCCACCTCCAATGTTTCCATTCATGTGAGCAGACAGTCATCTCACCTAGCTCAATGTCTTTACCTAAAGTGACACTAAACTCAGGAGTTAAATCTTAGAAATACATTCAAGTACCTCAACTATTAATAAAATGTATCTTCTTTGTGTATTACTCGGCTGTAGATCCTCAAATCATCTCTGAATTGGTGCAGACACTGTCCTGCCTTCTGGAGGGGGGCTAATTTTCTTCCCCATGGTCCCTGTGTGTGTTATAAAGTAGCCACCTCTCCAAGCTCGCTCCCGGGATGGACTACAATCTCATATTTAGTTTACTTATTTGTATTGAGATTGTAGTCCATCACAGGAGCAAGCTTGGAGCGGAGGTTACTTTACAACACACACAGGGACCATGGGGAACAAAAGTAGCCACCCTCCAGAAGGATGGACAGTGACAGCACCAATTCAGAGATAATTTTAGGATCTAGTGCCGAGTGATACACAAATAAGATACATTAGTATTATAAGTTCTAGTACTTGAATGTATTTTTGAGATTTATCTCCGGAGTTTAGTGTCACTTTAGTTATAAAGCAAACTACTGTTGTGACCTGAGCACAATACTATAAAGACTAAGCATAAAACATGGTATGAGAGAAGTGCAATATAATAATAAATAAATAAACATTAGTAACATAGTACAGTTGATCTCACATCTGTCCATATTGGGAAGGGTAAGCAGTGATCATTCTAAACAGCATACTACTCTTACCAAACAAACTGAAGTCTTGTTTAGCAGTGTTCATAGCCCTATAGTAAGCAGCCAGTCAGCTGTCCCTTTAACAGTCTGTAGACCGCACACAGCTGAGAAAGTAGTTGTCGTCAGCCCTTTGCTTTTCCGTACATGAGGGTGAGAGAGAATTCACATTGCAATACAATAAATATAAAGCTGTGTACAACTAGAACTAAAGGGTTGCTCAGTCACCTTTATGCATGCCTTCTCCAGTCAAAAGGGGATGTGTCCAGACAAACTTTCCTGTTCCATTTCCCTTTCCAAAGCTTATGATTGGATTCAGGGAAGATACTGAGAGCTGAACAGACCAACTAATCTGCTGCTCAGCAAGCTGTGCGTTAAATCTTCTACTGCCAACAAGGCTTCACGCTTGAGAGAACTGCTTGTTCTTTCATTACAAAGTAGCTAGTTACTGATTAGGCTAAGAAGATTGAAAAATATAGTCATGGAAAGCTTTCAGTATTAAAAACAATCCAAGATCCTAAGGATCAATGTTTTATATTGTATTCTTCTATATGAACACACAGTTTCAGTTTCAGTTGTCAGTTCAGTAAAACAGTAAATGTGGTTGGTTACTATGGGTTACTGCACTTTTCACATAGTCATTTGCTTTTCCGATGCCTTATTAAATTTGCTAGATTATGTTTACTCACAGTAATAAATACCAGATTGTGCTCTGTATTATGCTTTTGTTGTTAGACAAGCTAATATAATAGACCTATTGTTTTTACAGGATTCTTGTTGTAATTAATGTTTGATATGAAAATTAATTAGTGGTCAGTCAGCACAGTCAGCGTGCACAGACACAGCAGAGAGAAAATGGGGGCAAGCCCGGAATCCTGTCAATACCGCTGCTCCAGGGCTAGGATTTTTCTGCCCTCACCCCCTGGGCGCCCTCAGGCTGATGTTTGTATTGCCTTACGCTAGTGCCAGCCCAGCTAACTGCACAGTTGCTATACTGTACATACACATACATATACTGTATAAATGTAAGCTGATTGGTTGCTGTGCACAGCTGCTCCAGATTTTGTCTGCTCCAGTTTTGATGAATTCCCCCCTTACCTCTTACCTTTGTTAGGAATATATACCTGACAAATGGAAGGAAACCCTTGCCATACATCACAGCCACTGAAAACACCCATATCAAAATGATAGACTGACAGCACTCTGCAAAGCAGTAGAACACTAATTGGTGGCCCTCCCTATTCCTTTCTGACTGCTGCTGTGAAGGGGTAATAAGAACCTGATTTAGGTACGTATGCTAACTCTGTGTGTGGTTTCAAATGATCGAGAACTAAGCAATCAGAAACTGCTCCCCGCAGGAGTTCCCCCCTTCCCTCTCTCTGTTCCTCCAGTGCTGACTGGAGGGACAGACAGCGGAGGGGGCAGGCACAGCTGGCTCTGGCACTAGAGAGGCAGAGCCAGCTGTCAATTAGGCAGCGGGGTGGATCCCGGGAAAGCATATAGCAGGGAGTAGCCCGCTATTTGTTGAGTTTTGGGTCACAGGAGGACATTAGTAAATACCCTTCTGTGATCCAAAAAAGTTGTGGTCATATATCTCTTTTACACCTATTTTAAAATAATTAGTATAAAAAGCAGAAGTTCCTGTGTATTTTCTGCACTACTTTTCTGACTGTAGCAGTATGGTGATGGATGCTATAGTGTTAGCATGGCCATATTTCTGCATAGGCAACGTAGGCCGTAGCCTGGGATAGTACACATCATGTTGCTGACTGCTAGCACATTCCTATACCTGATAAACAGTTTCAGAATGCTGTCCTGCTATTACTGTTTGCTTTTGGATTGTTGGTGGGATAGTGTACTATGGGGTTACAGTTCACACATCCTGGTTCTGATCAACAGCTTCTAGAACCGAATTTTTAGCATACCATGATAACACTAATCTGCCCGTACGAGGTGTATATATCGAGTCTATTGTGGTGTGTTAATGCATATTAAGTGTCAGAGAAGTCCAGCAAGCAGTCATAGAACTGGCACTATGAGAGCCATTGCGCATGCGCGTGTGAAACTGTTTCGTGCTGGTAATGCTCGTAATCGTGAGCATGCGCGCAGGCGCTAATACACATGTTTACGTGCAGACGCTATGTGCATGTTTACGTGCAGACGCTAATGCGTACGTTCATGCGCAACGGCGCTAACGTTTAATCATGGCGCTTAAAGGCCTATTTAAACTTGCATCTTGCATGCACTCAATGCTGAGAGTTCTTCAGCTAGTGTCTGACGTTGATTCCTGATTGCTCTGTATCTGACCCGGCTTGATCCTCTGACTCTGCTGCTCTCCGCCTCCTCCTGACCTCGGCCTGCTCCACCACTCTGTCTCTTGTCTGCCGATTCGGCACCACTTATCCAGCACGGCTTGACCTCGGCTCGTCCTGACCCAGCTTCTGTCTTCTGATTCGGTACCGCACAGCTCTCCAGTTACTGACCCGGGCCGGCTTGTCTCTGCTTATCCAGATTCCTGGTATCCTGCCGGGTGCTTCATTCTGGTGTCTTCAACATCTGTTCCCAAAGGCACCCGTGCCTCACGAAGTCCGTTCGGCCCTGTTCCACTCTCAGGGGCGCTCAGACACGTGCTGCAAGGGAAGGTCATTCTTATCTCAGACTCACATCAGGTACGTGTTGAGCCGTGCTGAAAGCCGAAGCTGGCCGCTCGGCCTGCTTCTGACAGCTGGGCGGAGCCAGCCGTGATCTTACCGCTTGGCTTCGGCCACTTTCAGAGAGATCAGCGTCCCTGGTTGTGTGAATAGCCGAACAGTGTTCGGCTCACTTCACTTCAGATCGGTCATTCACTCGGCTGCCCTCGACAGCTTCGTGAATAGACCCCTAAGTCATTTGGATGGACTACCAACACACCACAATGGACTGAAAAGCAGACTTGCATCATTTTTTTTAATGCCTTGGGTGCCACTTGAATGAATGTGCATGGTGTGTTGGGGTAAAGTTTCTGCAATGCATAGGTGTTAATGAGCCCTAAGGCTAGTCAGTCTACTATGGTAGACCCCTGCCCCCCCCCACCATACCACACCACATTGGCCGATGGGGACAAGGGCCTCTTCCCCACAACCCTGACCTAGTGGTTGTGGTGGTCTGTGGGCAGGGGGGCTCATCTGCATCTGGGTACCCCTTTTATAAAGGGGGGCACCCAGATGCCACTTCCCCTTGTGAATGAGTAAGGTGTACTTGTACCCCTACTCATTTACTAAAGGGTTAAATAAATGCAAATAATCACACAACACCTTTGAAAAAATTCCTTTACTTGAACAAAAAATTTTGACAATTCCTTTATTTAAAATAAATTTTAAAAATGCCCCATGAAGTCATTCCAGCGTCGGACGAAAAATGAAAAAAAAAAACAAAAACCCAAAACCTCCCCGATGCAATGTTTACATTGGGCAGTAAAAACAAAGCCTGCTATTGGTTATTTAAAATTGAAATACCCAATAGCAGGCTGGCTGATGCTCCGCCCACTGCCTGATGTCATTCACAGAGGAGTGGACTTGAGAGAGAACTTTCTCTCTCAGGTCCGCTCCTCTGCAGGAGCAATAGCCATTCTGTTATTGGCCATTTTAAATTGCAATATCCAATAGCAGGCTGGCTATTGCTCTGCCTACTGCCTTCTGTCAATCAGCAGAGAAAACTTTCTCTCTCAGCTCCGCTGCTCTGGGACTGACAAAAGCCAGTTGGCGGAGCAATAGCCAGCTTGCTATTGCACTTTGAAATAGCCAATAGCAGAATGGCTGCCTCCCACTGCCTTCTGTCTTCTGAGTACCACTTACTTATTCACAAGGGGGCGGGGGAGGCATCTGGGTGCCCCTTTATGAAAGGAGGAACCCAGATGAGCTCCCCTGCCACAGGCACCCACAACCACGGGGCCAGGGTTGTGGGGAGGAGGCCCTTGTCCCCATCGGCATGGGAACAAGTTGCTTTTCCAAGGGGTCGCCCTCTAGAAAAACACCCTCCCAATGCCAAGGGCATGTTGCCTGGTATGGTGGAGGGAGGGCGGCCGCTCGCTTGTCCCCCTCTTTCCTGCCCTGCCAGACTGCTGCCTGGATTAAGGGTCTGGTAAGGGATTTTATTTATTCATTTTTTTGGCGTTGGGGATCCCCTTAAAATTCCTACCAGACCTAAAGGGTCTGGCATTAATTGCCGTGGAACAGCAGGCGGGTTTTTTTTTCTCGTTTATATCAGAGGTCCCCCATAACATTCCCGAAAGATCTAATGGGTTTGGTATGAATTGGGGGAGACCCCACGCTGTTTTGTTTTTTCATTGTTTTGTTGTGGTGTCAGAAATTAAAAAGAAACAAAGTAAACATGTAATGTCACTTTTGTGCAACAAATTTTAGTTGGTAATGATCATTTAACTCAACCGAAATTTACGAAATTCGGATTCATCCGAATCCGAATGCCGAAACAAAATTGACTTTCAGACCCGAATCCCGAAAAACAACATAACGAAACATCCGAAACAAAACTAAACAAATTTTTTGCCGGCTTACATGTCTAGCATGAAGTAAATATCAGCTTCAAGAAGCTTTAAGAAGGGGCATGATTTCCCCAACGGCAGGCCTGTATGTTGTATATCTGAATGATAAAAAAGTAGGAAGGAATCCTTTCTCAGCACAGACCTCTCACATATACTACAGACCCAAATGAAAAGGTTTAATTGAAATAACTGCTATACTGTATACTGTCTTGACATGGGGAACTTTTGAAAGCCATTTTAAGAAAATATTGTGATTACTAGCATCTATCTCTCTAAGGACTCTTTCACTGAATATGGTTTTTAAAATGTCTTCCATAAAGGCATCACACTTGCATCAGTACCATAATATTTGTTCTACTTCACATCAGTTCCCAGAGAAAGATCCTATTATTGTCAAATCATTTTCTAACTCTGGGCACACCACAGTCTCTTTGTGAATGAATGCTATTGTCTGGGAGGACAGTTGCTAAGAGCTTAAACGCCTACTCTTCATAAACATTACTCCTACAGGACCTGGACATTAAACACTAAACTATTTATTGCATCCCTACCCAAAGCTGAGACTTTACTTTGACTGAGGAAATGACAATTCGATGAAACAGTGTAGCTTTTTTTTTATTTATTAAACATCAC